ACAATTCCAGCGGTCACCTTCTCATTCCAAAGACACCCCTTTCCGATTAATGTTTCGTTTTCCATTGTTCTAAAAATACCATTTCTCCAAATTGATAATGAGCTTCTACATTCCGTGGACACAAAAGTAGGCCAGATGTTTTGACCGATATTTTTTATCAATCGTACGTATGTTCATCCACTTTTTTACCATGTCTTTTTTCCTTTCTTATCTCTAAACTTATTCCTTCAAATAACAATTTCCATTGTTCTTGAAATTCGGTCAGACGCGTTGGCCTAGATATCTCTTGACACCTGTTTTCGCTTATGACCGGCTTTTGCATTATCCATCTCCTCTTTCTTTTCCTTTTCTTTTTTTTTTCTTCTTCCCTTAGGATCGCCTAAATACAATTAGAGAATTATTCTCAAAACTCAATTATTCTTCGTCTAAATAACTAACAACTGGTTAATAAACCGAATAAAAATTAAATCATATTTCTAGGAATATTTCTTTTTAGTTTTTTCTAATAATGCAGGGTGCCACACATTGAGTAAAACAAGAGTTGTCTCTCTTTAACTATTATTTGTATTTACAAAGTTCAATGAAAGAAAGTTTGTGCGAGTTTCTTGTAATAATTGTTCTCAGAAGATTTGCTGTGTAAGAAAAGATTATGTAAGTGTATAAGGAATGTTCAGCATGTGAGTGGTGGTGTGAGTGAGAAGGTTGGAAAAGTTCGTAAGAGTTCGTACGTACGTGAATGCGTGAAATATTATTTAACGTCTGAGCGCATGGTCGAGACGATATTTCTTAAAGGTCACATCTTCGCATGAACAAGAGAGAAAAAAGAGAAAGTGGCAAACTCGAGTTTGCTATTTATAGATAATGTAATCACGTGACAGGATCACAGCACCTTGGCAGGAAACTTGACTTGGTCATGCGCTGGAAAAAATATATTGTGCGTGGGTGGATTGCAACGCCCACTTGTGTGTTTATTGGCCAATTAGCGAGCAAGTTTTGGGGAGACCTAAGAAAGCCTCTGGGATCCGATTCTCCCAAAAGTGCACGAAATCGACTACATGAAAATATAGTGATTATAAAATTGTCGCATAGCCGCGATTCATAAATTGTCCATTATACCCAATGAATGCTTGTTGTATAATTTGAATTTGTGTAAGTATGTATGTATGGATGTGATGATGATCATCACACCGTTATTTAATATTAATCTAACTTCATATCTCCCGTTCAGTCAGTTTCAAAAATAAAATTATTCATTATACTAAGTTTAATAAAATCGTATATAATATAAAAATTACATTTTTAAAATGTTGGCTATATATATTTTTAGAAAATCCGTCGCAGTAACTACAATAAATTTATACCGTATATACACGTGTGTAAGCCAACTTCATGTATAGTGCAACCCTTGAATTCTGTTGTGAAAACTTGATTTTTTCATATAGGCCATGTATAATAATAGTGACCCCAGCTTCTCAGCAATACCAGTAGGCCTACCGTAGTCAAATATTACGGTACCAAGACATATTTTATAGAAAATAAATGGTCTTTGATCTTCATTGTACAAAGCTACCCCAAAATGGTGGCAACAATCACTTACCATAAAATATCTGATACGAAGATTTAGATACCGTAATTTTGTTTTCCTTGCCTGACTACGGTAGCGCCATTACTCTGGGTCGGCCTTCCACGTGTAATATTACAATATTAATTACTTCCTTTGGCAGTTTGGTCACCATAATAAACTTATTTTTTTAAGAAAATAAAAAAAAATGTCTGCTTATACTACATATCGTGTGTTTGTTGTCCGTTGCATATAAAATATCTTTCTATGGTGACAGAGGTTAAAAAAAAAAAAAATCAGCAAATTCCACAGTCAACCATTTCATAGAAACGAAAGAAAATAACGATAAATAATTATTTATATTTTTGAGATGAGGCATTGTAATTATTTATATTATTTACATTGTTCGGCCTGCTGTCCTCATCTTTATTGCCATGTTCACAACGTTTCGGCCGTTGTACGCTCCGGCCTTCTTCAGGTGATTAGAATTTCGAATTGAACCCTTTATTTAGTTCCACATGCCATGCCTCTTCCTCAGTTATCTCCCTTTAATTCAACTCACCAAGTTTTTTGTTCACCATTGCCGTAGCCAGATCCACTGCTGGATCTAACATAACGCTTTTATCCATTGGGCCTTATGTCTTCGAGGACATCAGTGTATGAATTTTGGGGATTTATAAATGTCTCAGTAACCAGAGCTCATATTGTAATTTTTTTTGTTATTATTGCTTTTCTCTAGCATTCCGTATTGCTGGTTTCCATATTGTATTCATTTCTATGCTTGGTCGGCTTAGGAAATTTTTGTGGCCTAGCATATGTGCTGATTCATTAAGTTTTTATATTTTCCAGTGACGGTTTCTGTCTATTATTTCAACCTCATCACACAAGGGTCTGTGATCTCCCTTTTTCCCTCTATATGTGAGTTTTCTATTTCCCTTCGAGTTATGGCATTACGCTGTTCCTATAGTATTATCTTAAAGGGGCGGCCTGTTCCTCCTTTATATCTCTAACCACAGCTGTATAGGATGGCGTACACACAGTTCTTAGTCATATTCTCCTCTGAGGAGTTTTACTCGGAAGAGGTGTCTGTGAAGTGTTGAACCATTTCTGAAGATCGTCCTGATGTTATATGTACCACAGATCTTTAGTATTTTCTCCCATAATCCCTTCACATAGGGTAGGCACACCAAAGCTGTTTTCTGAGTGTTGTTATCCTCTTGCACCCTTCTCTCCCAGTTTGTCGGAATTGTTGCTATGTACCCAGAGTAGTTGTTACGTTGTAGGGTACTGCTTATGTTGTAAGCAGCGGACGATCCCTTTCTTTACACTGTATGGGTGGTGGTAGTTGAAGTTGAGCTATTGTCCGGTAAATGTAGGCTTGCGGTATACGGATGTCTTGAACTCATGTTCTGTTCGAGATATTAGTACATCCAGGAAGGCGAGTTTGTTGTCGTTTTTTTCGCTTCCTTGTTAACCGTATCCACGATCTTATTGAGTTCACATGGTACAGTAGTAGGTAGACCTCTTTCTGGTGTGGCCAAAGTATGAAGGTATCATCTACGTATCTCAGTCATAAGGTTGGCTTTAGTGATGTGGAGTATAATGCCATTTCTTCGAAATATTCTATGTATACGTTTGCCATTGCTGGTGATAATGGAGAGCCCATTGCTAAACCTTCATTCTGTCGATATATGTCTGATCCCATTCCAAAGTGTGTTGTTTGTGTACAGAAAGTCAGCATCTCCATCAAGTTATCTGTTGGTATATTAGTCCATTCTCATAGAGATGAGTCCGAGGCCAGACTGTCCCTGACTACCGATAGTGCCCCACCCGTGGGTACCTTGGTAAATAAACTCACCACATGCAGGCTTACCATCTGGTTGGATTGAATGGGAGCATTTTTGATTATTTCCACGAAATGGGCGGAGTTTTAGACATGAATGTGACTTTCTTTTTAATGGATCAATTATATCTAGAAGGAAGCGACTCACACACAGCCTTGGCAGCTAACAATCGGCCTGAGCGAAATACCATCTCTATGTGAATTGTGGAGAGACCGTATATGTGAGGTAGCTTGGTGTAACGCTGCGACAACTGTCTGTATGTCTTAGGTGGGAGGTGGTCCTTTTTCTTGATTAGCAATGTGACAATTTTCGTTCTGTTAATCCTCGCCGGTGGACGAAATAAAGGGTTCAGTTCGAAATTCCTATCACCTGAAGAAGGCCGGAGCGTACAACGGCCGAAACGTCGTGAACATGACAATTAAAGATGAGGACAACAGTCCGAACAATGTAAACAACGTAAATAACAAAGATAAATATCTGCAAATAATTAGGGAGTGGTTGTAGCTCTAAACATAACGCGAGACAAAGTCACGTGGGGGTAAAATAATAAAATACTAAATCTGCCTTCCTACAATTGAAACTCACTTCGGCATAAACGTAAGTATATTCAGTACCTTATTGTTTATTTTTACTGAGTTTAAGAATTGTTTATAACAAAAAAAAAACAAAAAAAAAAAACAAAACAAAAAAATAAAATAATAATAACGATATCGAAAATTACCATTGAACATGTCGCTACCCGTCTTCGCACACAGACGGTTACACAGCGCACCCGCATAGCAACAGACACCATTGTCTTTAAACATCCTTATTGGTCCATACCAATCAAAGAAATACCTTTCCGCTTAAATCCAAAATCCTGTCTGGGAACCTACCCATGGTTATTTAAGGACACAGGCCCTAACAGCAGAGAGAGAGAGAGAGAGAGAGAGAGAGAGAGAGAGAGAGAGAGAAAAACACAGACAGAGAGAGACGCATGATACTGTTGCCATCTTTACGATCACACTGAGAGATCCTCTCGCAGACAATGGAAGAATGCGTACGAATTACCGCATCATAGAAATACGACATGGAATACGAAATCAAACAACAACTCCATACAACTCACAAACAAATTACACTTGAAACAACATAAGATTAAGTCCGTTGTATATGAAATATCTTTATACTACGTAGCCTTTTTCCCCTTTTTTTGCTGCTACATGAAGAGCAAAACCTCTTCCACTATGTATATACCACTTAAAATCAACGAATACTTTATATAACATTTCGCAAGTGTTTACATCGCTGAGGCATTGCCTTTTTAAATGACAACCTTTTTAGCTGATTGGTTGTTTTCTACGGTTTATCAACTATTTGCAAGTGATTTAAAGCCAGAAAATATTTTTAGATTGTAAGATTTTTTTTTGCAATACTAATGTTTTAGTGATACACGTCTTATTAATTAGCCCATAGCTGGGGGAGAAGATGTGGATTAATACCTTTCCCAAGGTTATTTGTGCGTAAATGAATATAACGAACCCAACTGTAATTCGAACTCGGCGCTCCGATTAACAATTCCGAACCATTATCAATTACACCACCTGTACATCCAGGCTTACAACACTTGATATTCCTAGGTGTCATCCATCTAGGTATTAACCAGGCTCGACCTTGCTTATCTTCGGTGATCGTACGGTAACCGGTGTTTCAACGTGATATAGCCGACAAAAAAACTGATACATTTTTTCTCATAAAAAATAAATCGCACAGAAACTTGAACAAAGTGTTTGAAAATCTTATTTGATGATATATAAATGGTAAATTTCTTTCAGAAAATGACTTTTTTGTCTTCATTGTTTTTTGATGATTTTGGTATTTAATTATCTGTAATTTTAGAATTATCCGAACGTATTTTTTTAACCCCTGTCACAAAGTGTTCGGATAAACGAGGAATTATTGCATTATGGTGCCTCTCTAGTATGACTGAGAAGTGTAAATGTGGAGTTTATATATATAGGGTGATTGAAAAAAGTAACTCCCCATTTTAAAATACTTATAATTTATTTATTAATTGTAATTCTGACAATATATGGATATGAGAGGAAAGCGTTTTTGGCATGAGGTTTTATTTAAAATTCGATATGGGCACCAGATTTTGCTATCAGCTTCTCGAGGCGTCCATGAATCGCGTCAAGTGATTTCACCAGGAACTCGTGTGCTATGGAAGACATACTCCAAGTTCTTCCAAAGTCTTTGTTCGGTATAGAAGACTTGCTCCTTTAATCAATTGAAACACCAAAGAAAAAAGTCACAGGATGTTTAAGTCAGGAATCCTGGCTGACCACTCTTACATAAAATAGGGAGTTATTTTTTAGTCACCCTAAATGGGGGACATTGAGTCAATGCGAACGATCCTTTCCTTAGCTGCTTAGTATGTGAAGATTTTAATACGATGAAACATTTGTATATAAACATTTCCACATTTGTATAAAAATTTAAGTAAATATTTGTAAATATTTTGTTTGTGGAATATACTCCCATTAAGATGCTGCTCCGATCACTACAATCTTCACCTGTTCAAGTGTAGGGTTAACCATTATCTTCCCCACATATTCGCATAAATGGCACCGCTTTCCTCTTTCTCTGTAACACTCTACGTAACATTATTGTAATAAAAAATGAACATTATTGTAATAAAAAAAAAAAAAATCAGATATATACACTTAAGATATAAAAAGGGGAGAAAATTATGAATGGTGGCTTTTTAGTTTAATGCAACGTAAAATTTTCATAACTCTAGTGTGCTTTCAGTAGCCATAGCAACCCAAGAAATGCGTCTCATTAAGCCGAGTCTTACTCGGTTCTCTGGGGACAATACAAAAAAAGTGAAAGAATTTTATTTTTTCTACGATTTTTTATCTTCGTAATTCGTGGATAAAAAAAAAAAATCATGTCTCATGCGTGAGTATTTTTTTCACTGTTTTCTCTTGTTATTTAATTTCCTTATACTTCTTGAATGCCCGCAATACAGACAATGCAATGATTGTACATACTTAACTTTTATATTTAAAATAAAAAATGTTAATATTTATTATCGTACTAGCATGGTACCCTTGAAAAATTGCAGGATTATTGATGTATGAATATGTTTATACATTCTTTTTATAGATACAAATATTTAAGTAAATGCTCTGTTTATAATAAACATTAGACAGTATTATCAACATTTACCGGCCTGAATATCCGAGAAATTTCTCGGATATTCAGGCCGGTAAATGTTGTTTAATACTGTTTATTCATTTACTTAAATATTTGTATCTATAAAAAGAATGTATAAACATAAAAATGTCTGAAAATAATTGTTGGACTTTGTCCATTTCGTTATATATATATATATATATATATATATATATATATATAAAATGTATTTATTGCAGAAAATATTTGAGGGTAGCATTATTTGGAAAGATGCACGATTGTCATAAAGTATCTTTACCTTTTTTTTATTATAATGTTCCATATTTTAGTTTTAAGTTAGAACGATTTGATTTTAAAATTTTGAATGAGCTTTATTTGGGATTTAATTTATTTCTTATTTTGACAATCTATTAAAATTTGTTTTAAGTTACTGAAAAAAAAAAACTCATTTAAATGGTTGTCTTTTGAAATATTTTGAATAAATCATATTTATTTAATAACAATCTCATGCGACCACAATAATATCTTCATAAATCCATAATTCCAGACATCACAGCAAAATGTCCCTCTTTAATACTAATTTAGTAAGAATTCGTGATAAATTAAAATAACCTAGTCGAATATTAACCCCTTGAGCTCTGCATTCCTGAACAATTTTAACCCTTTTACATGAGCTCCCGAGTCAAAATTTACAAATAATTGGTATGTAATGTTTCACGGTAGATATAAAAATATTTACAAGTGTTTACCCACCGTTCAATACAGCAATACATTTTGAAGAAAAATATTACAAGTGTTGGGGATGCGCAGAATGAACTAAGGATTTTGCTATAGCATTAAAATAAATCAGAAGGAATTTTTTATGTCAGGTTGCGTGATCTTTTCTTACATCCACAACAATAAATAAATCTTGATATAAACAAGGCAAAAACATGCATGCAATTCAAAACCAATAAATGCATTTATATACAAACAAAAATATTATATACAAAATATTTTAGATGTTGTGTTGGTATGTTCGTAGTATTTGAAGTTTTTTGTATGTCCTTTTTTTTGTCTTGTGTATCTGTATTACAGCCTTTTAGACAATTGTAATTAGTGTTTAGAATGTCGTTATTATATTTTTAGAATTGAGTCATTCAAAAAGTAGTCTACCTTTAACTGTAAATGTTAAGTTAGTCCGATAATGGTATTTACTTAAAATGGTAGTGAGTGTTAATAATTCACTTTAGATAAGTCTTGCAGGTAGAAGTTCTTTGTGTTCACAGAGTAATCTTCGAGTCGAGCTTGTGTGTGAAAATTATAATCGCAAGTGACGTGGATTAGATTAGAGTTTCTCTGTGTTTGCTGGACTGACTGATTTATCGTAGATGATCAAAGAGAATTTATAGTTTGAGATTCTTGAATGACGAAGAAGTTCGTAGAAGATATTGAACGGGAAAGATTTGTCGTCTCGATTCGCGAGACGTGAATTGTAGTCGTCACATTTTTAAGCTTGAGTGAGCGATCAAAAAAATGATCTGCGTGTCACACGTGCTTTTGGGTTCTTTTTAAGAGGTCATGATCACGTGGGTGGATCCAGAACGATTTTGCGCCAAAACTTCGAAGTGCACGTGCGGGCGACCTGATTGGTAGAAATGAACTAATCAGAGGGCTAGATTTACGAATCAAAGTTGGAATAGTGCATTACTCGAAGAAGGTAAGATTGGGCTAATGGACGAGCCCAATACAAGCAATACATTTTTGAAAAAATTATTACCAGCAATAAAAATCTTGTCGATATTAAATAACCCATTGAGGTTGATATGCCTTAAAACAAAACAAAACAAACCAAGTCTTCACTACCCGATGCAGGAATTGAACTCACAATTACTATTTCACTATTATTTCCTATTTTCTACTATATTGTTTAACCCTTTGAGCTCTGTGTTCCTGAACAATTTTAACCATTCTGTCTGAGCTCCTGAGTCAAAATTCGCAAATAATTAGTATGTAATGTTTCACAGCAGATATAAAAATAGTTACAAGTGTTTACCCACCGTTCAACCGGTAGCTGGGCATTAAGTCATTTTTCTCTACCACCGTTCAACCGGTGGCTGGGTATTACCTCATTTTTTTTCTCTACCACCGGTAAAGCGGTGTCCAGGGCTCAAAAGGTTAATCGTAGAAGGTTTGTATATCATGGCATTTTCAATTCGTCTTTGCTTGAGTAAATTATATTCATTATTATTATTATTATTATTATTATTAAATTGGCGTTTTTCTGTTCAAAATTGTGATCCCGAAGTTTTCGGTGGCATATCGAACGATCTGCACAATGAGTGGAAGATTTAAAATAAAGATATGATTATTATTTATTATTTTTTTTTTAAATTTCGAGCCAATCATCTATATGGTGTTGTGTTCGTAAATGAAGAACGAATCAAACACGTGTGTTTAAATTAATATCAAAATGGTGAGTACCTTCTTTATTCAGATCCCGTTCAAAGGGGAATCACTCCGTCCAGATAGAGAGTAGATACCATAACATCTCCCCTTCTTAGGTTATGACTGTTGTTCATTTTAAATGTCCAGTCTTGTGGGTGGACTCGATACTCGTCCAGCCCTGGTTGTTACGTGGCTCTGGGGGACTGGTTGGTTGATAAGTCATTGAGCACTAGATGCTTTCTGAGTTTTCTGCTTTTATTTCCCTGTTCAGAGGGGGGTTGTGGTAATAATATGTCGGCGGTTGCGTCGGATATATCTCCTGATGTCGTCTGTTTCCACAATGTAGGATCGTGGAGTGAGGACGTGTCCAACTATCGTCCCTTCCTGGCTATGGGGTGTTTGGGCTTCTAATCCACACTCTGGTTCCAGATTAAAGTGGGTCTCTTGCCCTGTGTTTCTGGTCGTATGTGTTTCTGTTGTTGAGCCTTCTTGTGTTCATCCTTATTCCGAATGAGTTTAAAGTTAGGCTACTTGGGCGCCATTACCTTCGGATGGAATGGGATATTGGTTCTTAATCTCCCCCTCAATAGTATTTTTCTGGGGGAGTACCCACAGTCCATTGGGGTAGTTATATGGGCTAGCAGGGACATATATGGGTCCCCTTGCTTTCCTCAATAAATTCTTTATAATTTTTACTCCTGCTTCCGCTGCTCCGTTGCTTTGAGAAAATCTAGGGCTATTTGTGGTGTGTTGAAAACCCCAGATTCTTGCGAAATCACCAAATTCTTTAGCCATTTATTGGCTTCCTGGATCTGTTTCATGGTCACTGGTATTCCATGTCTGGTGAATATTTGTTTTAGGTTTTCTATTACCTCTTTTGAGATAATTGAACTTAGTTGGGTGAACTCTATATATTTAGAGAAGTAGTCGACCACCGCCAGATATGTCTGGTTATTTAGTTCAAACAGGTCAGAAGTTTAGTTGTCATTAACGGTTCGGCTGGTTGGTGTCTCACCCTGGCACATATTTCACAATTCTCTCCCTTGTTTTTTTATTTGATCGGACAACCCTGGCCACCAGATTGATTGCCTTGGTGCCCTTCTTGCTTTTCTAGTATGACTGACATCCGTTTCTGGTATACCTCACTGGCTGCTTGGGCACCTCGACGTGGTGTAATGGTTAGCAAGCTTGTCTTGCTAGATCAGTTACTACTGACAAGTGAGTTCGATCCTCACTGGATGTCCCATACTTTTGGCCTTGTGCCACATCTAAGTTACGCTTGGAAAATCTCTACCTCACTGGCTGCTGATGTGATCCCAAACGGTAGACGGTTAAATTGGAATCTGCCAAACGGAGTAATGAATGTCGTTAATTGGCGGGATTCACGTGATAAAGGGATTTGCGAGTATCCACTATTAGCATCTAGTTTGGATATAATTTTGGCCCCATTCAATTGGGCTAGTACATAGTCGACTGTTGGTAGCATATGAAATTCTCTTTTAACATATGCATTTAGTTTTGTCAGGTCAACGCATATTCTGACCGTTCCATTGTCCTTTGACACCACCACCATTCTGTGGTCTCTTCTACTATGCTTATCACCCCTATCTTTTCCATCCTTATGAGTTCTTTTTGTGTTTCCTTCATAAATGGTAGGGGTACACGACGTGGCGTTGGGATGGACTAGGACTTAGCATCTTCACGTAGGGGTATGGTGTAGTCTTTTCCAAATAAGCCAAGACCCTGAAATAAGTCTTTCATCTCCTTCATCGGATCAAACGTTTGTTTATGGTTGGTATTTCTGATACTAAGCACTGCAGAGTTTATCGCCAATATTTTTAGTGCCTCGATGGCTGGTCTTCCTAATAGTGGCTCTTCCAGTTTAGGGATGGCATAAATGGATTGTATTGTTTGTCGTCTTTTATTTCCTTGGATGGTTGCCTTTAGTTTTCTTTTAGGGGGTTATGGTGTGGGCCATGTAGACTTTCTGTTGCTGCTGCTAGTACCAGTAACTTCATTTTTCTATAGGTGTGTTTTGGTATAACAGTGACATCAGACCCGGTATCTATTTTAAATTTCACTGGTTTATTATTTATTACCAGTTCAATACAATACTCCATATTTTGTTTTGCTTAATCTCGGCCACTGTCAATAGCCCTAGGGTGGTGTTGTCGTCGCTGTTGTATGAGTAGTCTTCGTCATATTGTACCTCGTGGATCTTTCTTTGACTTTCAACGCTGTGCATAATGGCCGACTGCTTTACAGTAGTGGCATGTTGCTAAGATGGCGGGGCACCTACGTCTCGAATGGTTCATTTTGTTACCACAACGGTGGCACCCTGTTTTTGTCTGCTGCTGTTGTCTGTGCCCTTTAGGGTTATTGTCCTCATAATTTTTTAGGGGCTTTTCTTTTTTTTGTATGTCTTTTTTTACGGTAACGACTGTCGACCATGTGAACGACCACATCCTTATATAGTTGCCTGACCTGATGTTTTTCAGACGGTCTTAATATCTTCTGTTGGGACTTCATATTTTCGTTCTGGCGCGCCCTTTTGACTGCGCCTTTTCAAAGTGAGATCTGGTATCATTATAAGTGTCTCGTATAATTTGACGTTTCTACATCCCACTACTATCCTATTTTTTGCGTATAAACCCGTGTTCAAGCTCCTTAAAATCGCATGTTTTTGCTAACACGTGTTGGTCAGTCACAAAAGCGTCTATGGACTCGCCTTCTTGTTGGCACCGCTTGCTGAACATCACTCGTTCATTAAATTGTACTGGCCGTGAAGTGGTGGTCAAATCTCTGTTTGACAATGTCGAAGTTTTCCGAGTCCTCCAGCGATAGTTTAAAGGTAGCTAGGATATCCTCAGATTTATTGCCCATGGTGTATATGTGTCCACTTGGACTCTCCCGAGCTTTTCTTCGAGGCCCGATACGGTTTTGTAGCGAGTGAATCTTCTTATCCATTTTGGCCACTGTCCGTGCTGGTCAAATAGGAACGGCTCTGGCGCCGACACGTTGATGTTCATTTTGTTTATTTTCCGGTTCTGACTCGGATATTTTATTTGTCTGACGTCTAAGTGTATCCGATCTCTAGTGCTCCGTTAATCTACTTTTAGTTTCATGACAATCCCACTTCTGACACCATGTTGTGTTCATAAATGAACAACGAATCAAACGCGTGTGCTTAGATCAATATCAAACTGGCGAGTGCCTTCTTTATTCAGATCCCGTTCCAAGGGGAATCACTCCGTCCAGATTAGATAGATAGATAGATAGATAGATAGATAGATAGATACCATAACAAATGGTCAAGTCATTAACTGAGTTCTCTTATGAGAAGATCTGGACGGAAAATATGCCTCTTTAAGGAAGAAATACTTTGTTTTACCTACCACATAATATTTCTCGACATCGTGCTTCTTGGAAGAACCACCAAAAGCGAAAATCTTATCTATTCACATTATTTACTGTCTGTTTAAAATCCTCATCTTGGTCATTCTTATCACAACATTTCAGTCGTTATACCTTTCGACCTTCTTAAGATGACTGCCGATCCGGTAACCTTCATGGAATCAATATTTATTTACCTTATTTACTTTCGGGTTAATATCCTCATCTCATCACAACGTTGCAGCCGTTGTACTCTTCGACCTTCTTCAGGTGCCTGCTGATCCGGGTAACCTTCAGGGAATCAAAGTTATGCTCCATTCTCAGATATTGCTCCTTCGGACAGTCACGTGTTCCGCTCTATGGCATTAATGGACGGAATTTGGTAAAATTTAAAGACTATTAAAAGGGATGCGGCCTCAAGTCTAAAAGAATGACTTCATCAGGGAATCAATCAATTCGCAAGAAGACAGATGAAAACAAGAGATCATGATGTATTTTGATTTTGTTACTAATTGGGTTATTGTTATGGGGTCCACCCCTTTTTCATACAAGTGGACTCGACCAGTATGTATTTGTACTGTTGCCGGTGAATACCCGAGAGGTAGAGTAATAGAGAGAGTAAGAGTGTGAGGTAACCGCTTTGTAGGAGTCACAGTTGCGAGCACGTAGACTCAGAAGGAAGTCCGACTTCGATACTGAATTTCCCAGACTGTATATATCTTATTATTGCTACTAACCTCATTTCTGGGGCTACTAACCGTATTACCAATTGTATTATTACGTCAATATATTTATTTGTTATATTTCATTCCTGCGTTTGCCATTCTTTGGAGACCGGATTTTATCTCGGAATCCACAACAGTTATTAAATATGAAAATACTTCTGATGTATTCCAATAGAATCGAAATAATTGGTTGTAATCTTAGATATTCATTGAGTAAAGCGCCCTGTAATAATTTTTATCTTTTATTCCCGTTAGTTCTACTGTTTTGTTTCGGTTGGCTTAAGGCTATTTTCCATTTATTCATTGCAGGACATACAACAGGCAGTGGGTCGAAGGTCAGGCCCAGCTGAGGGACTTGATGTATTACGAACTTCCGCTGGAACCACCCAAACCTGAAAAGGTGATAAATGCTTCCTAAAAATGCCGGGAAAATATTTTCACAAAATAGGTCACAAAATATTCAAATGCGCAAAATAGGTACTTACTTATTAGTGAATAATATGTTCCAAAAACCCTAATAGTTGCTTGAAATTGAGAATAGCACCGAAACCTTCATATAATTTTTCCTGTACATACAAACCTATGATAAAATTTTTATTTATAAATTAGGCATAATAAGAAAATAGCTACTATAACTAATAACAAAATAGAACCATAATAACAATATACTATAATAAAAGTTATGTGACAAATAGAAGATTCGTTCTTACCGTAGATCTTATTAGGCACAATAAGAGATTAACAATTAATAAAATAGAACCATTATAACAATATGGTATAATAAAAGTTATGTGACGAATAGAAGATTCGTTCTTATCGTAGATCTTATTAGGCACAATAAAAGATTAACAAAAATGACTCCGAATAAAATAGAAGAATTCGAATAATATACTCTAGTAAAATTTGTAACGACTGGAAGACAAGTTTTTACTTGAGCAGCAACATACGTTTTTTCTTGTATTAGTTGTGAAGTTTCACTTTTTCACTTAAAGTAGATTCACAGAAGATGGCGGTAGATGTTGCATTTACATTTTTGAAGAATGTAGATGACAGGGAAGTAAGAAACGGGAAGAGAATTCCACAGGCAAGAAAAGGAACTATTAGAATAGAACTTGCGGTTACATGTAGCTAATTCAATAGTAAAACGATAAGACTCAATTGCCAATCTAGTAGTAAGCTTAAATTCATGCGGTCAAAGGAACAAGCAGGAGAGTTGATAAGGAGAACTGTCATGAAAATATTTGGAAAAAAATCTAGAGAATAAAAAACTGTATTGAGGAGAAAGAAAAATAAAAGAACAAGGATCTGGATAGACAATTAACATTGTATTTAAATTTTTGAAGATCGTAAGTGGCAGGGAAGGAAGAAACGGGAAGAGAGTTCCACAGGCGAGAAGTTTGAGAAAACGTTTGCATCTAGTTATTTAAACAGGAAGCTAGTTGCCAATCTAGTAGGATGCGTAAAATCATGCGGTCGACGTACCAATTAGAATAAATTGCCATGAAGAAAATGATAGAAAAGACAGAGGGAAGCCACGTTATGTCAATGGGAACAGGACTCAGCACCGATAACATTGCAGGACATTCTTTGGATTTGGTATATATCAGGGTCATTAGATCAGATATGACAGCAATATTCAATGCTAGGATGAATGGTAGATTTATAAATGTGCCAGATAGATCCCGACGAGAAAAAATATCTGGCACAGTGAAGCACATTTTCTAGCAATAGACGAAGCAATTAATTTAATATAACTCTTCTACTTCATGTCAATAAAAAACGTAAGACCAAGAAGGTGCAATGACTTCCTCTTCTGGAGGTTAGCTTCAGCCATACTGATGGAAGGCAAAAATGGTTCCCAACAAGCTATCCATGCAGATGACGCAACTATTTACTCCTGTCTTACTAGCAACTCCGACAGAGCCGACATTTTTATTGTATTTTTTCAACCTTCGAATAATGTGATGAGTATTGTGGTCGAAGTTGTTGATAAACTGTTCGAAGTTTATATTTTGTTATTTCTGTTCTTTCGACTTTCGCAGTTATTATCAAGAACAGTTTTAGTGTGTGTATTGCAGTTAAACTTCCTTTGTTTGCATCATATGGACAGTTTATCCACAACTTCGAGCGCAATAATCAACACTTTATCTAAAAATTGGAAAAATACAATAAAAAATTAAACGGACAGACCTTGTCGGTTCTTTTTAATCAAAATTGTTTACATATATATATATATATATATATATATATATATATATATATATATATATATGTGTGTGTGTGTGTGTGTGTGTGTGTGCATTTAGACAGAAAATTCTCTTTCAGGCATGTCTGATTGAATAAGTTACACACGTTGTTTGCTTATTTTGATGATAATCCTTTCATATTCACGAATATTTTCCGTATATGACAGTTAAATGAGTAAGAAATGCATTGTAACAGCGAGAATCACTTGTATTTTTCAAATACTTCCCATCTCTTTCTGAGGTCATCATCAGTGGTGTAATTGGTAAGGCAAGAACTATGTGTAGCCTCATCAATTGCACACTTGATGATGATCTCAGAAAAAGATGAAAAGTACTTGGAAAATAAAAGTGATTCTCGCTGTTACAGTGCATTTCTTGCCACATTTAATTGTAATATACGGAAAAGTATTCGTGAATATGAAAGTATTATGATTAAAATAAGCAGTCAGTTTGTAACTTATTTAATTATATATATATATATATATATATATATATATATAAGCGTTCATGTTCGGCAATGAACATTTCAGTCTTGCGTTATAACCATTTTTGTTTAGTATACATATATTAAATATATGAAGAAACAGAAAAATTAAGCACGGTTTTCATCTTTTTTATTTTGTTGTTTTAGGATCGTAAAGTTGCTTTTCAGTTCTTAGCAACGATGTTTGTGAAATACGTTCAAGTACTTTGCAAGATTGAGCGATGCTACGACCAGATCGTTCATCCACAAAAGAGGAGGGTCCTCAGACACGTGCTCGATGGGACCATTGGCCGGGTGCTGGAACTGAAGAACGAAATGGTCAACCTTGAATTTTCCGAATTCCACTACTACGACGACATCCTTTCAGACTATAAATTAACGCCCGTAAGTAGCTGAACTTGTTAACATCCAGTTTGTTATGCTTATATCTTGTAATATCACAAATGGACTCGGCATGCAGACTTCAAATTTCGGTCGAGGCTGTTTGTTATCTTCACTTCGTACTAATGATCTTGGGAAAAGTAAAAATACATCACTTCTTCATCGTCTATGGGAAAAACAGCTTGCTAGACTAGGATGCTTAGCTTTGGTAGGACAGTCAGCTTAAGAGAAGGAAAACTCACAAGCATGACGAAATATGGGATTATATATATATATATATATATATATATATATATATATATATATATATATATATATATAAATTCATTCACACAAAAAAACAAATATAGAGGTTAATGATTTAAATGGCGGAATACATCTTCGCAAACAATATAAATGAGATACATCAACCCCAAACCTGTATATGAATGATATGATCCCTGTTCATAAATTCCAGTTGCATAAGGTCTTTTTAATTTTTTACAAGCTTTCGTCTGTTCCTACAGACATCCTCAGGTATGGAAATAGATTTTGTTCTTGTTTTTACTTCTCGGTAATAAGAGGACAACGAAAATAGAGATGTAAACCGAAAAAATGCTATGAAAAATGTGTTTTTGTTTTTGAACGTGCGGTCGCAACGCTGAGTTTGAATTTAAATTTTAAGGTTGTGCGTTTTTGTACAAAAGAGAATTCTCTTTACTGGTAGATTTTCCGTCTATGTGGCATGAACTATATTGTTCAATAATTACAGTAATGTCAAACTTATTATCCGAAAGTTGCACACACACACACACACACACACACACACACACACACACACACATATATATATATATATATATATATATATATATATATGTGTGTGTAACACTGGTGACTCTAGGCCATCAGTGTTTGTTGGGTTCATTACAAACTTAAAAAAAATATACTATTGGTATAACTTATATGCTAAAATGATTCCTTTACTCTAACTAAAATATATCATTTTTAAAAATCTAAAAAAGTGCATGAAATTAAAAAAATATTTTGCTATTTTAATATTAATTGTAATGATTCTATAAAAATAAACATTTATTTAAAAAAAAAATTCCAGACATGTAAGAGAAAAGGGTGAAAACAAAGTCTTTGATATGTTTGTCTGTTTATTGCCCCCCTTTCCAATTTTATTGTTTTATAACCTGGTTATCAAGTCATTGATGGTAGAGATAGAAATATCACACTGCTATCATATTTCCTCAACACTACTTCAGTCACAGTCTCACCACAAGCCTCCAGACGACGAGTTAAGGTTGCCACTTTCTTTGATTTTCGCTGACTTTAAGTCGGTCTAAATGTAATTTCCTTTTTCTCAAAAGATACATACTACTAAAAAACCTTATACTGTATGGAATAAATTATTTAAAATTGACATTTGAAAATAATAAGTTGAAATAAAAATGTGTTCTTTGAAAAATAGGGCATACAAGTCATTAGAGATTTTTAAAAGATTGTTTATAAAATTAATTAAAGAAATAGATTGCCTATTAAGTATGTCTCCAGCTTTTATCAGGCTCAGACTTAAGCCCGACTAGCTACGTTAATTTTATTTTATTCTTTTTTTACTTATTTTCTGTCTTTGTTTTTTCTTTTCTTTTTCTTTCTTTCTTTCTTTCTTTCTTTCTTTCTTTCTTTCTTATGAACATTCTTAACGAAATCTATTTCAGTCAATATTATGAGGCACAGAGTTATAACAATTAATTTTGTATCCAGCCGAAGTCAAGAATGAAAACGACATACTACAAAAAATTTTGTTGCTTTGAAATAGATATACTTGACTTTTGTCTCCTCGATCTAAGCCCGACAAAGCTGACCCTCGGAATTGCCACTGATATATATATATATATATATATATATATATATATATATATATATATATATATGTTACAAGTATCAACGCGAGTTATGACTGCCTTTATAATTGGTAAGAGTATGTCCTGAAAAGTTCTCGGCTCGACGAAGAGGCTTCCAGTCGTTTAATGGAATCAAATTAAAAAAAAAGCTTAGTTGGATGGTAAAAATAAAGTTAATTGATTTTACGACCGGGAGAATGGGGGCAGGAAGTCTTTTTTTTTTATAAACCCACCAATAATTTCTCTCTGGATGTTTTCCATGCTTCGAACGTCAATACCTTATCTTATTTCCATGTTACCTGAAGAGACAGCTATGTCAACAAGACCCATACAGAGACACCTGCCTCAGCTGAAGCATTTGCAGGAACAGAGACGTGCAAAGATTGTACGCACCCTCTAACGGTTTTTATGTGTTACTCATGAATCTTCACAGAATAGGAGACTCTCGATTTCCTTAATACTCTCTGGTAACAGATCCTTCTGATAAATAACTTAACATTTATTAAAACATTTTTTTTATTTTGTAGAGTATTTACTTAGCACATTCATCCATAATTCAAATGATTATATAGTGTTATACTGCAAATACGTAAAGCATATATAGGAATTATTTGGAAATGATTTTACTATAGAAATGCATTTGAAGTTTTTATTAAACGAATCAATCAAAACATTCATTCATTCTAATGATTATATATAGATTGACACAGCAAATACTAAAAGCATATCTAGAAATTTATTGGAAATGATATTACTAAAGAAATGAATTACAGTTATTTATGTCAAATGTTTATTCATCCTAATGCTTGCATGCAACGTGGCTCTGCAGATGCTAAAATGAGATGAGTGTGATCATCGCTGGCAAGTTAAATCTATGGCTACGGTTTTGAATTCAGAGTTGTCCTTCGTTTGGGCTGCTTGCTAACCACAACTAGAGTGTCTACTCTGCGCTGCTATTTAATCCCTAGATGGTGGGGATAAGAGGTGGATTCATACCTTTTAATATTAACATGTGCGTAAGTGAATTTAACGAACTCGGCTAGAATTTGAACTCGTCTCTTCGATTTCTCATTCCGAGCCACTATCCATTACTCTATCCGAATATCTATCTTACATGCATCCGTATATAATAGCTGGCACATCGTATGGTCACCACAAGCGATCATTGTAAGACTTAATTGTACTTTGAATAGCTCTTTTAAACCGGACAAAATTTTAAGATCGATGACACAAAGTTGGCAGATATGAAAACCATAATTTTATATTCATTTTTATATTTTCGTAAATACATACATGATGTCCGCCGACTCATTAAAGGAGTATGACCATCCCTGACAAGCTTGATCAATGTTTTCAGTTCTCGTGAGAACAACAATGGCTCTTGAGGCTAGCAATATTTTCAAAGTGTATTGCAGATGTGGCAAATTTGTTCTGTACAGGGTCTGGCCTGTTTTGTAAAGTCTGTTCATCTTGCTCGTAGGATTTCATGTGTTAGTGAGACCAGTGCTATTTCTGTATTTTTTTTTTGACACATCCAGGAAGTTGAGTTATTTTCAGCGTAGTACTGATCGTAATTCATCAAAGGCCTATTTATACGAACACTTCTTGCGTCAAACGAAGCCTGCATTGGAGAGGTATAGTTTGCCATATTCACTACATGTAAATTGATGGTTCAATGATTTCCACTATCCTAACTGCAGGCGGCTTGATATTTGCCCAACTGATTTGGGGTTCTTGGAAGATTTTAACGTTTCATGAATTGTACACCTCCATTTATTTCAATCACAAGCATCAGTTTGTTACCCAGAATCTTTTATACGGCAGGCTACAAGGAACTCTTTTAAACAGTCCTTGAAACTCTTCCTTGCTTTTATACTGGAGTCGAATGTTGTGAAGCAGTGGTTCTCAAACTTTTGGGGGGTTGTCGTCTCCCTTGAATATCAAAACACAAGCCCTAACACCCCCGAATATATATGCATAATCCTAACGCCTTCCCAAATGAATAGTCAAACATTGATTGGATTTTCTTGGTGTTAGTATTACATGTCAAATGAGTCTTTTAGTATTTCCCGTAATAATTGTTATATAAATGGGATACACTATAAAGAGGAGGCAAGATGCACTGCGGATACAATGGGTGCGTGTGGTATATATTATGGTTCAGATATACCACTGCCATCCTCTGGCCGCCCACATTTTTTTCTCGACGCAACCCTGGATCTTTCCACAGCCTCAAGGGCTAGTACGTTTGGAATCACTGTTGTAGAGCAACTCACTGTAGAGCATTTACTTGAGTATTCTGCTGTCGTCACGGTGAATGGCCTGGCCTGCCCAGTGAAGCCTGTGTTGGTGAATGTGCGCTTCGATGCTGATTGCACTGGCCTTTTCGAAGACCACTGTGTCTAGCGTGTGGGATATCAAGTGGATACCAAAATACAGCGTTGGTGCAATCTCTCCAGCACATCTAAATGTATGTGGCACACAGCCAATGATCCAGAGGAGTATAGCAGATACGTCAGCATACAGGCATCGTAGACTGCCACCTTTGTGCACTTTTAAGTTCTTTCGGAGACCAGACTCGATCTTTTAGAGCTGCAAAGGCACCAGTTGCCTTCTTCACTCGAGTAGGCATTTCATCGTCAAGAGTGAAGCGCGTCTGTTTATAGTATTCCCAACGTATTTGAATTTTTTTGGCCACCCACAAATATTGATGGTTCGATGTAAGGTAAACCCAGAGCAGGTCAGAAAACTGTTTTGTCCAGGCTGATAGTAAGGTCGAAAGTTTTGCAAGAACAGGGGAGAGTATCCATCAGAGCCTCAATTTCCTGTTCTGTTTGGGTGACCACGTTACAATCATCGAAAAACAGGTCTCTGGCAATAGCATGGAATATCTTAGACTTAGAGTAATGGATCGCGGCTCGGACTGAAGATTCCAGTCGAGATCATTACATTCACTTACGTTCTAATAGCCTTGGACCAAGTATGAATCCAACTCTTCTTAACCGACCCCCCCCCCAGTGAAAGAAAACTCTGAATTCAAAACTGGATGTAGCCCTGTCGAAGCACATATGCAGCTAAGGAAAGGCTCTTTTGCATGGACTTGATGGTCCCGAATATTCACTTAGATTCTATAGCCTTGGATGGCAACCGGCCTAGGTGAAGGAAAACTCTGAATTCAAAATTGTATGTAGCCCTGGTGAAGCACATATGCAGCTAAGGAAATGCTCGTTTGCATGGACTTGATTGTCCCGACTATTCACTTAGATTCTATAGCCTTGGATGGCAACCTGCCTAGCTGAAGGAAAACTGTGAATTCAAAACTGTATGTAGCCCTGGCGAAGCACATATGCAGCTAAGGAAAGGCTCGTTTGCATGGACTTGATGGCCCCGACTATTCACTTAGATTCTATAGCCTTGGATGGCAACCGGCCTAGGTGAAGGAAAACTCTGAATTCAAAATTGTATGTAGCCCTGTCGAAGCACGTATGCAGGTAAGGAAAGGCTCGTGTGCATGGACTTGATGGTCCCGACTATTCACTTAGATTCCAACCTTGGATGGCAACCGGCCTAGGTGAAGGAAAACTGTGAATTCAAAACTGTATGTAGCCCTCACCGCTCCCGTATACATTTGCCATTGTACAATGGTATCATGATTTCCTTTGAAACTCTTCCAGATGTCCAGGATGATTCTATACATGATATCAGCCAAGTGATCGTCAGCCTACCGAAGAATTTCAGCAGAATATACCATCCTTTCCCACAGCCTTTCCCCAACTTACAGATAGATGGTTTTACTTACTGCAAAATATGAAATTAATTCATAGATTCCACGATGGATCTTTGCTGAAGGTGGTTAAGAGCAGATTGGTCCATATGACTATCCCTGTTGAGCAAATCGAGAAAGTGTTCTTTCAATCTCTCACCAATTTCTACAACGCTAGTTAGGAGCTTCGTGTCATCTTTTGATCTAAGAGGCCTTATCGCCCTTCTTCGCTGAATCCCACTCTTACTTTGGTCCATATTCGAGCCCAACCTGCACCAATCCTGCGCCCCCCCCACGTTTTGTTTCTGTATACGCAAGAATATTGGTGAAGAAGTGTCGAAGATCAGGCTTGATTCCTCTTTGTCCTGGTTATGCTTGAAACTTAATTAACTTCAACAATACTCATTAACAACTTTTATAAAATAATGATAGCTTTTATTTATGGTACTATAATTGATTAAAATCATGAATACATAAACAAAAAGGATTTGAAGAAGTTTCCCCGTATAAAGAATTATTAAGCTGGAAGAAAGCGGTTGACTGGTGATTGGGTTTATGGGTAAACAGCCTAGAGTCGTTCAGCTATTTAAATGGAGGAAGTTGATGGAGGGAATTCAAATAGCAGTGCAAAGAACAGGACTTTAGCTGATTGAAACACCACGGTCATCCGGCAGAGAGAGTGTTGGTCTACTAGTGGTGTGTACCTCTGCTCTTGTTGACTGCTTTTTATTGGGGGGTGGGGGTTCTAACCCCAGCTGCACTGCTCTGATCGGCTAACCGATAATAATGCTTGACCAAAGGTACTGATTAGCTAATAACATTTGATCAATGATCTAGTGCCATATATCTCGAAGGGGATGAAGGAAAGATCTCAAGAACTCAAAATGATTGGTGGTTCAATCAAAATAATGACCTTGTGTCGTAAGTATCGGGGGAGGGGAGACGAAAAGCTCCACCCCAGCCCTTCTCTCATTGGCAAAATTGTAGCCTTGTATCAGTCATATTCACCTTCAGTGGCACATATTTAGAATTTCACCCTCATTTGACCTGGTTATCACAGGTGTCATTGTCACCTCTATCTAAAAGTGTGTCATATCCCTGATCAAAACAAACCTGACCTGTAAAGATTTACTTTGTGTCACTCATTTCATGAAAAATTCCTTTATCAAATGAAAACAAAACTCAAGTTCAAGAGACCTAAGACTGTACTTAATGACCATTCCCAGCTAAGCTTACAATTTCACCTCTCATACTATACTCTATAAGTGACACAAACCAGAAAATTTATGGTATCGCATTGTTTTAACATGAAAAATATTTTTCTTTCTTTAGAAATATAAATTAGATTTCCAGTAAAACTTTGACATCAGTCTTGGTGTAATAGCTTTACTGGGACCGGGTTTCATGAAGTTGTATAATTCTTTAATATTCCTACTGTTGGTAGCAGCCTATATTTATGCGGCTAAGTCTGACCAACAAGTGTCTTTCGTCTCACGAAAATTACGTTTAAACTTTGCTTGTTTAAATTGCCATCCCACTTGTTGATGGGTGGCCGTCCTTTTTGTCGCATGTGTTTTTGCATCTTGTTCTTATATGATAATAATATATATACATAAATGCATACATACAAATAATAATAATAATATTAAGATTTCAATAACACCTATTTAAATACATAGAAAAGTAGAATTCAAGACTAACAAATTGTTAAGAAAATGATCAAAAGATAGAGTGACAATAATCATCAAAAAATCTAAGAATATTCAAATATCTGTCTAGGACCTTTTACAAACTTTGGTGGCGGGTTCCTCACAAGGACAAAAGTCTATATAAATATATGCCAACAAATCCGTCATTTTTGAGTTAAGTTTAAAGAACATTTACGGTAGATGGCGCTGTGTTGCTATGTAGATTAGGTTACATTTATCATTCAGATACATTTGTGGCTAGTCTGTCTTCAACGCTTAACGTGTGTAGTAATGCATTAACTGAGAAGTATTCCATTTAACGAAGGCAGGATATTCATATCAGGAGCAGGCAGATATGATTTTTACATACAACCGCGTAAATGGTAATGGACGCGAAGCTGCACGGCTGTATCAAATTTCATTTCCAGACCGAAGGCAGTCGAGTAATCCAACCATTGCTGCTGTTTTTCGCCGCGTTGCTGAGACAGGATCCGTGGTACCGCAAACTATAGATCGAGACCGTTCTTACGCCTGACCACGAAGAACACATTCTACAGGCTGTTGGAGATGGTCCAGGTATCAGCACACGTCAAATGGCCCTAGTATGTCGTACATCTCATAGTGACCGCATGGATGGTCCTTCAAGAGCAGCTCCTTTATCCGTATCATTTTCAACTTATGCAGGGTTTTTCGCCTTCTGATCACTCACCACAGGAGAACTTTTGCCGATGATTTATTTCACAAACTTCCCATCTGTTTGTCTCTTCAGTTTTGTTTACGGATGAGGCAACATTTGGAAAAGATGGAATAACAAATTTACACAACCAACATTTGTGGGCGGATCGGAATCCCCATGGTACAATACAGGTTAGACACCAGCATCAGTTTACGATTAATGTGTGGGCTGGAATTGTAGGTGACTGTCTAGTAGGTCCATATGTTCTCCCAGCATGTCTGATAGGAGCTGTCTACAGGGAATTTATTTCGAATACACTTCCAGGCCTTCTAGAAGATGTACCACTGTTAATATGAAGAGGCATGTGGTTCATGTATGCTGTGGCTCTAACACATTTTAGTCACATTGTTTGCGATGCACTGGCTGACATCTACCATGAAAGATGGATAGATAGGGGAGGACCAGTTCCATGGCCTACACTTTCCCCCGACCTCAGTCCTTTGGATTTTTATCTGTGGGGCCACCTAAAACAATTGGTTTATGCAGCAGACATTAATAACGCAGAGACGCTTCACCAACGTATCATGCGGAGGGTGGGGGCTGCGAAAACATTCGACACCGTGTGGGAGTATTTGGAAGGGTTCGCCAATCAATGATCTGACGGGTGTATGCGTGTGTAGGCAAATGAAAGAAGTAGAGGATGGGTTTTTAAAGACGTCTGTCGGCGGCTGCTGCTGCTGTTACTACGACGTATCACCTTTATTTTTCTAAATTTTATCATGAATCGAACACCGACCTCTAGCACAGGTAGAAAATAATCAACTAACACAGCCATTACATAGGAAAAGCGAATAGTAATTAATTTAATACGTTTTTCTTTTCACTCACTAAGAAACTAATTAGCACTAATATTAAAACTTATTATAATGATATTTTATTAAAATTCAAAAGTAATGTAGGAAGACTGTGTTACACCATTCTTAATATGAAAAACAATTTTCCTTTCTGCAGAGTGACATCGAACTGCCGATTCCAAAGTACTTTTTATTTGAAAGGAAGAAAACCTTGAAAGAGCGGGAAAACTTATTGAATTCCATTCTCGGTCGAATGGGAATGTTGGGACGCGACGGTGTAAGTAAAACAGATCCACTTTAAGCCATATCCTTCTAACGTCAATTTAAACTGACGCTCTTTACCCACGTATTGTGATCATTTTACTTAAGGTTCGTATTTTCTTGATTTCAAATGAAAACTTCGAAATTTCCCAACATATTTCAGTGAAATATTCACTTTCCAAAATAATAATAATAAATAATGTTATTTATGGTTTATACGATACAATTTATGGCATGTCATCATCATTGAGCGGACTCTGAATTTTCACCTATTGCAGTGAACGGGTGTTCTCTCATGGGGGTGGGGGTGAGGGTTCTCGTGCCTTGAGCGCCTTTTGGGACTTAAGCTCAACCCAAAACCTAAAATGTAATTCATACACACGATCCATAGCTAAAGATACTGGAAAAATGGTCGTTTCCTTGTACCGCTCCAGTAAGTATCAGACTCGCCCTGTTATCCTTTACCTTTACAAGAGCCAGATGAGGCCGAAAATGGACTACTGCTGCCATACATCGGAAGGATCTGGACAATCTTCACTTTTCAGTTTCGATAGAGTCCAAAAGAATCTCCGTGTCCTTGTGGGTGATGAATTATTTTCCGCCTTACAACCACTTTCCCGCAGATGAAACGTTGCAAGTCTCTCTTTAATCTATTGCTATTTCCATGAAAAGTGTTCAGACGAATTAAAATTGCTTAGTTCCGCCAGTCCTAACCTTCAAGACTAAGACCTTCTATAACACCCACATTGTAGCAAACCACCCTCCTCATTCCCTTCGTATACCATTGGTGAGATGTAAGTTCCATTCGAGCAGCTTCTTCTCACGGACCAATGCTTTGTAGGATCGACTCCTAAGAAGACGCTTCTCCGATCAATATAATCACTATAATCTTAACCAGTTCAATTCTACGGTTATCTTCCCTACATATCCACATAAAGCGTGCCTCTTACTCTGTAACACTCAACCTCGAGTTGCTCTTGGGCCTTTTATAGGGTTGACATCATTGTAAAAGAAAAAAGATCTTTTTTCTTTTACAATGATGTCAACCCTATAAAAGATCTGGACGGAGCGAATAAGCAACAGTCTTAAAAAATGGTAACAAAAAGATTACTTATACTCAGAATCAAAAAGCAACAGCTGAAATTTCTTGGATACATAGTGAGGAAAGAGGGTTTGGAAAAATAACTCTCACGTGGCATATCGAGGGCGAGATAGGGGAAGGCAAAAGGCCACTTACCCCTTGAGCTTGTGTGTAGGATTGACGCAATAGGATTGGGTGAGTAGGCTTGGCAAAGGGTAAAAAACAGCATACAGAAAAAGATTCATTTATAAATGAATTTATTTATGAAAAGAGAATTTTGTAAGAAGGTTGACAGAAATTTAAATTCAATTCTAATCGGCGTTATTTTGAAAGGGTCGCATTATGTAGTGCGACCCTTTCAAAATAAATACCTGTATATACAGATTAGATTCATCCATTTTTGTTGAACGTAACCTATCTGGTAAGCCTACATTTTCACGGTAATGTTGGCTAACCTTAACGTTACAGTTAAGCTCCTTTAGCATTTTGTACAGGTAATGCTGACAAAAAAGGTTGTCAATGGAAAGGCAATACCTTGCAAAACGAAGATGAATGCAAATTTGAGATAGGACAAAGACTATTAATTCTTTATTTACATAAGGTATTTGTTGATTTTAAATGGCATACATTGTGGTTGAAGTTTTGCTCTTCATGTAGCAACAAAAGAGTAGAGGAGCTACCGAAGTCAGGCATGAGCGAAAACAAAAGTACAGTATCTAAATCTTTGTATCAGATATGTTAGGTAAATGTTTTTTTTTCACCATTTTGGGGTAGCTTTGTACGAAAAAAAAAAAGAATGAAGACCATTTATTTGCTATAAAATATGTCCAGGATGATGCTCAGTACTGCAATATTTTACTACGGTAGGCCGACTAGTAATGTTCTGAAGCTGGGGGCGCGTTATACACGAACTCTATGAAAAAAATGAGGTTTTTCACAAAAAAATCAGGGGTCATACTATACATGAAATAGGCTTATACACGAGGGCCGACGCGTCTTAACCCCGAAACCCCCAACAGAGCTAAAGGGGGAGATCGTTTTTTGGGTCCCGTTATGGCCTTTGCTATTTTTTCTGCATAGTTTTATGGCCATCCGCCATTTTTAAAACTATTTTTCAACTGACGTTACATTGTCAGTCATCAACTAATAATATACATAGCTGATGTGTACTACACAGAACCCTAACCCCCCCCACCCCGGACGAGGTTGGAGCCCTAAGATGGCTAGTTTCAGAAGCAATTTTTTTTTTTTGCTTTTTGTACTTTTTACTTTTTTGTTCTACCTAAGTTATATTGTCAGTCATCAACTATAATAATCGACAGGGCCGGTGCTAACCACCCTGAGCCTCTCAACCGCGTGGGGGGCCACATACCTACTGGGAGAGGAAGAAAGGCTAATTTCAGTGGCGCTTACTGGTAATTTTCTGGTAATGGTAATTTTCTTTCTGAACAGTTCGTTTAAATCAATTTATGCATTTATTTAGCTATGATTCGTACTAGTCGAAATATTTTTTGAGCTTTTTTGGTGCAAATGCATGACAGGACCACGTGAAAGAGACGCTAGTAAGAGACGCTAGTCCATGTAGCAATGTAAATGTAAATTACGGATTATCTCATTCGTCAAACGTTTTACGGAAAAGTTCTACCCCTAGTCTACCACTAACCCTAAAAACCCTAATTCGCCATAATTTTTCCGTCAAACGATCGGCAAAACAGTAAATACATCAAGCCCTGTCATGCATTAGCACTTTTTTTAAATTTTTTTTTTAAAGAAAATTCAGTTTGTCGGGGATGTTTTTTCGTGTGTTGTATTGGAATCTTTGTAAAACTTTTTTTTCAGCGGAGATGCGTCGGTGATTAATCTTTATGGAAATATAAAAACATTGCGACTTAAACATTTTTTTGAGTAAAATTTAGTCATGAAAATATTGGTAGTTATTACAAAAAGTAACATTTTCTCAGATTAAAAAAAGAACCTATTCATTATAAAAGTAAATAATGAATATGTACTGAAATTTTCATTTAAATTGGATAATTCTCTGATTTTTGGTAATTTAAAAAAAAACAAACCTGCCCTTTCCAATATTCTTTCGAGCGGTTGTAGCCCCTAGGTTGGGAAACTTTGAAATCGACATGTAGTAGACAGTGGGGCTCCGTATCAAAGTTTCGGAGTGGGGCTCGAGACCCTAGCGCCGGGCCTGTATACACGAGTATATATGATATAATGTTTCCAAAATCTGGGTTCGAGTCCTCATTTCTCGAGATGTCCTTTCTTTTAAACTTTTTTCTCTAGTGAATATGTAGCGGACATTTCCTTTTTTTGGTGCATATCGACATCGATGGAAAGCTGGGTGAGGGCATCATTGTATGTTTATTCTTACGTGTTATTGGAATCTAGACAAACCTCCTTCTCAATTCTAAGCCTGGATCAAATATTAATACTTATATAGACACAAATACGTTAATACTTATAGGAATAAAATATATTAATTATTATATCGGCACAAAATATATTAATGCTTATATTTGCCCAAATATATCAATACTTATATGAGCACAAAATCTATAACTATTTATATAGGTACATATATATTAATAATTATATAGACACATAATACATATACAGTCATAGATATATAAATATTTATATAGGCACAAAATGTATTAATACCTACATAGATACAAATATATTTAATAATTAAACATAAAACCTCTACCTACTTACATAGGCACAAATATATATTAATGCTTATATAAGCACAAATATATTAATACTTATATAGGCGAAAATATATTAATACTTACATTTGTAAGTCTTAACATATTCATGTCTAACTACCTAATTTTTGATGACGATAGCCCCTTAGTTCCTTACCTCTGATACCAAAACTAGGCTTGATCATACAGCAACCGGTATTTTAACGCGATATGACAGTGGAAAGTACTTGAGCAAAAACAACACACATGAACTTCGGACAATGTGTCCACAATTTCGATCCTAATATGCAACATCTTATTCAAAAATTGGATATAAAATACAATAGAACATTAAATAGACAGACCCTAATCTGTTGAACTGAACAAAATGGAAGAATAATTACTGCATAAATATAACCTTATTTTAAAAGATATCACGTATCTTATACAAGTTTTGTCTACAATTCTATCGTTCCGATCGTATAGTTTAGTAATTTTTGACTTCTAATATAAATACCATTAGGCAAAGTTTCACCTTCGCGCCGACAATAAAATGGTGTATCAAAAAGACAGTTTTTCCCTTGACACCGCTTTTTATTTTGTACTACCTTCACTCCATCGGCAGTGTTAATTGTTTTAAAATGCGATGACTAAAAGTTTAATAAAGCCTAAACATATGAAAGTGAATTTATGCATTTTCTTTGCTCTTTGAGAATTTACGATAAAAATATTGAACACCATCTATTTATTAGCTTGCTTTTTACGAGGATAATTTTATATTTGCAACATTCTAAAAGTTGGAACCAACTTACAATGTAATATTTATCAATCACCATTTCATAAAAAATAAATATGAAAACAATTTTTTTATTCATAAATTTATAAAAATTTACTAAATTATACAAATAGTCGACTCAACTGTAATGAAATCTTTATTATTTACCATTTTATAAATTTCAAATCAATTGCCAATTCGCCACTGTTTTGCCAAAGAACACAATTCGTTGAAAATTTTGTAGGGTTTTATAAACATTTGAATGAAAAGATTCCTTTTCAAATTTATTTCTTTATAAAATGATAAATAATAAATTTTTATAAAATGGTAAATAATAAATAATACATTGTATCTGGTTCACATATTTTTATAATCTTGTAAATAAACATTACCGAAGGAATTTCGATCGTTTAAAGTAATAGCGGTGTCAAAAGAAAAACTGCCCTTTTGAAATACTGAAACTTCGCCTACTATTATTTACTATTTTATTTATTTTTTAAAATTTTTATTTATTTATTTATGCCTCTACCCAAACTTCAATAGGAGAAGATAGGTTCGCCTATTGTCCAGTTCATACACCTTGCCGGTCTTTTGAACTGACGTAGAGGTTTATCTCTTGTTTCATGTTTAGGATTGGGTTTCCTTCTAAAAAGTCTTTTGATTCCTTTTCACTTCCAGTAGCCCCTTGCGTCCTAATGACATTATCCCCTTGCTTGGGGTGAATTGATTTAAAAAAAATACAATGACATCAACATCTTCGGAAATTTAAACAATTATCATGAAATTTCATGAAGACGGGTTTGGGTTTGAATTGTTTTTTTAAATTGTCAACATTTCTGAGTCAGTACGGAAATCAAACGCTTCGAAAAAATTTATTGCCCCTCTTATCCGAAAAAAAACCGCAAAAAACCCCAACGCATTTTCCTTACATGCAGTTTTACTTTCAATCCGACCCGAAGAAGCCAAACATCAACAGACGTCGGCGAAACGCGTCGTTTATAAGAGGAACAGTTCACCCCTGCATCCATCAGCTCCACATCTTGTATTTTTGCTAACTTTTTAAATATCCGCTTAACAGGGTAAAGAGAAGATCCAGTTATCGTTTGAAGATGCCATTCAATGCATACAAAAAAGCGAACGAGCCAGACAGGGTCGTCTGCGGGCGAAATTTATGAAAGAAATCCGACAGCAGGAAGAACGAGAAAAAAGAGCCGAGACGAAAGGCCTTCCATCCATTAACCCCGACGGTGCAGCCACTAAGATACAAAAGGTAAAAAGCTTGCATGGCGGATGACACAGAGAGAGAGAGAGAGAGAGAGAGAGAGAGAGAGAGAGAGAGAGAGGTTAAAGTAAAATCGATATGGCAAATTTGAAAGAAATTAATTAATCGATAGGTAAGAACAGTTTGAGACAAACACAGACTGAGATTGGTATATAGAAAGATAAGAACAAATTGAAATGTCAGATGGTTTCTTTTAAACATTAAGTTAAATATATATTAGAAATTATAAAACCAAAATATTTTTTCTAATGACTAATATATGCAAATATTTAGAATAATCAGTTTAAGCATATATTTTTAAAATAAATCCACACACACACACACATATGTAAAATAGGATATAGAATCCCGACAAAGTTTCTAAGAAATTGAAAAATAGAAAATATGTCTTCTGAACTTTTCTTTATTAACTCTCTCTCTCTCTCTATATATATATATATATATATATATATATATATATATATTTATACCTATTTAGCCATAGAGGACTTCCGCTTTAGCAAAATTCAAATTACTGCCTATAAAACATATCACTTGCCTTGATAAAATCGGATGACGAAATACGTCGACAAAAACTAAGGAATATGAATTTTATCCAATTTGTCTTATCTTCAGAAATATTCTGAGAAATTTAACGATATTGTCGACATGGAAAACTAAAAGAAACTCTTATTGAAAAAGTTACCAATACCCAGAAAGAGACTTACACATGAGCATCTTTTTTAAATTTTGAATTTGGTGTAACTACACAATATTTCGCTTTTGTTTATCATCGCTTGCCTTAATAAAATCGGATGACGAAACGTGTTGGCAAGAACTAAAATAAAAATAAAATATTTTCCAAGTGTCATTTTTTTTATCCAATTTTTTTTATCTTCAGAATTATTCTGAGAAATTTATATATATATATATATATATATATATATATATATATATATATATATATATATGTATATATATAGGTTTGTGTGTGTGTGTTGTTGAAGACCAAGAGTAAAGCTTTAAGATCTTTTAATTTAATTTTTCTGCGTTTCGAACCATTTTTTTTAGTTTCCTGGGAGAATTTGAACATAAATTATACAATGTCTTTTGCTTTCGGCTTTTATAAGACATTATCAAATTTACTAGCGAAGATGAACTTTGGAATTCTATTCTGGATGCCGGGTAATCTATTTCATATAAAAAGATAGAAAAGCTTGCAAAATCAATGAATGAACGACTTTTAAAACTAGTTTCAAAACATGCAACATTCATTTCTCATTAATGTTGACTTTATAACTTTGTCATTATTACAATGTGACAGTGTTTACAATTTTCACTTCAGACATTTGACTTTGTAAATCTTATTCTGCAATTGTCATTTTATAATTAATTAAAAAATAATTAAAAATAGAACTCATGGTTATCAAAGAGTGATTTGTATTCAAAGAATATTAAAAACAAATTAATATGAATTTTTGTATTTTTTAAGGTATGGAAAGGATATTTGCAGAGAAAACGAACTGTTATTGAACGTGAAACTGAACTGATATTTCTTGGAATGGTAAGACCTCGTTCCATTTCTTTGATTTCGTGAAATAGAACTAATATTTTTTGGAATGGTAAGACCGGGTTCCGTTTCTTTGGTTTCGGGAATAGAACTAGTATTTCGTACAATGGTAAGATGGTTGCATTTTTTTTGATGTCGTGAAACAACTGCTATTTCTTAGAATGGTAAGACCTTGTTCCGTTTTTCTGGTGTCGCGAAACAGAACTGATATTGTTTGGAATGATAGGACCTGGTTCTATTTCTTTGCTTTCAACATTCTAATCTAAAGATTTCTTGCCTGACTCTTTCGTATAAGAATTTCGAGACGTATCTCAAGGTTTCTATGACTGCTACTCTATAAGTAAAGACAATCCTTAAAAATCCATTTTGGTTATAATTTATTTCATGTGTATATTCAAATATTCATCTCTTTAGACCGAAGCAATAAATTTGTTTTCAAAATATTTAGATTTCAGTATTAAATATGCTAGAGAGGTTAATATGCCGCTCAACAAAATCAACCAAACGACCAAAAGTTTTTGCTTTAACAGATTTTCAAGATTGGAATAAATGTTACGCCAAAGCGACTAACATAACCAAGTTAGTCTAAATTATTTTTTTTCGCTTGATTTAGGCTATTTTGAAAATGATTTGGACTCTCAATAATCTTCACCTTCCAAACATTCGGTCGTTTAAGTAAATATAGTTCACCAGTTCGTTGTTTGTTTCGTTTATATAGAAAGGACAAATTAAAGTGACTAACATAGCCAAGATAGCGCAAACTATATTCTTTACTTGATGTAGTATATTTTGTGTATATTGGCTAAATTTCGCTTTGTTTAATGTTGATTGTTCTCAAGTAATTCTATCATTTGGTCGCTATCAACTACAACTGGCCTGCATCATCGTGGAACACTGTTCCGTGAGAAATATCCTGCACATTTTTATATCATTCATATATATATATACAAATTCCGCGTGGTATACGTTGTAATGGATAGCAGCTTGGAATGAAAAACTGGTGGGCCGAGTTCAAATTCTAGTCAAATTCGTTACATTCGTTTACGCGCAAATAGACCTGAGAGAGATATGAATCCATCTCTTCCCCCTTAGCTATGGGTTAAGTAGTGGGACTTGTATATGGAAAATCCTTGTTATTCTCAAAAGAATTGTGAATGCAATATTCACTCACTAGAACGTACTATTCTTACAATCGAAAATATATTTCGGCTTTAAATAACCCACAAAAGGGTTGATAAGCCGTTAAAAACAAATAAACCAATCAAAACCATCACGTTATAAGACACAAATTTCATTCTACCCTTCAATTTACTAAGAAAAATGATAATTGCATATTCTTCAATCAATGAACGATTCTGTGCCCCTCTAAACCTTTATGATGTTCAAAGTTATACTTTTGTGTTTCAGAACCCGCCCCCTCCGCCGGTCAATCCGAAGAACACACCGGAAGCAATTGCGGCTCAGACAATGGACAAAAGACGCGCAACGCAGGAGTTATATGAACAGGAATATCAACAAACCTTAATCACCATCAAAGATAGAATTCGAGATAATGAAGGTTCAGATTTGAAGGAGAGAATGCAAGATCAGATTAGGCAGTGGTTTATTGAATGCAGGTAATTGTAGAAATGGAAAATTCTTTGAACTTCTTGGAGGGTGAAAAAAAAAACTCAAAGTATTCTTGACCATTCTTATTTGCTATCGAGTGCTTTATATAAATATTGGATTTTTTCGTTAGTATTTACTATATTAAAAACTTAATAATTTTAAAACGCGGAAGCTTAAAATGGGAAATATCGAGTTTTCTCGCTGAAGTTATCGCAGTTACACTCTCTTTTTCCCCTTCTAAAATGTTTTTTTTTGTTATTTCTTATCAAGGCCACTTGAATATTAGTTAAAGACAATGGCCCTAAAAGTAACTAATGAAGTAAGGCATTTTTTCCATTAATATAAAACATCCATTACTTTTAGAACAAACCTCGTAAGTAACCTACGAAGTTTATCTGGGTTTATAGCCATGTCACGTCGAAACACCTTTTCCTGTACAACCACTGAAGCTAAGCAACTTTGATCCTGGTCAGTACCTATATGGGTTACTGCTTGGGAATACCAGGTGCTGCAAAGTTGGATGTGCAGGTGGCGTAGTGGATAATGGCTCGCAATTGTCAATCAGGGAGCCGAGTTCCAATTCCCGTTGGGTTCGTTATATACACTTACGCGCAAATACCCGTGAGAAATGAATGAATCCACCTCTTCTCCTTCAGCTATGGGTAAATTACTAAGACTTGTACCACTAAATCATTATTATCTACAATCTAAAAATATTTTCTGGTTTTATCTGGAAGATGTTACGAGGGTAAATAAAAAATTATCCGCACTTTCGCCATAACATATCTTTAAGTTTGTAACAATAACTTCTGGTCATGCGGGCTTATTTATAGTTGATACTATAGTGGTCACGGGATCCAAGTTTAAGCTTGATCGAGACTGTTTTCTTGCTGCTGTTACGGTGTAAGCATGGCCGCTCCGCTAGCAGTGTGCACTAAGGAGTAACAAAAAGCAGTGATCCGATTACTCTGGTCGGAAAGTGTGCCAGGGGCTGAAATTTATTGGGGGCTTTTAACACAATGCAACGACAGTGCACTAACGCGTAGAAGTGTGTATAAGTGGATCGAGAAGTTTATATGTGGCCGGACAAGCGTGACGCACGAAGAAGCAGGAAGACGACCGCCAGCCTTCACCACTGATGAGAAAATTCAGTAAGTTCGAAGAATGGTAATGGCAAACCGTCGAATTATTATCGATGAGGTAGCATGTTCTCTGCAGATTCGGATCCTTGCTCTTTGTTCCTCATTGGTGTACAATGTAAGGCAATGTTTCGTGGGAAGGAGTTGCTTAAGTGGAAAATACGAAGGTAATGAGTGTGGTTCGCTACAATGTGCGCGGCATGGTGTGTCTTAGCCGTAAATATTAGACCTGCTAACTTTAAAGTACATCTGAACATTCGCCATGGAAATAGCGACAGAGCATCAAGAGGCCTATGTCGTCTTTGAGAAAGGGATATTTGCAATCACTTTTTCATCATGCCAAGAATTTTTCTTGTCATCCACTCTTTTTTTTCTAGTCTCATTCATCATTTACAAGGACGTGGAGACGCTTTGGGACCCTTTCAAGTGTATAAAGTGAAGCCAGGGAAGCAGCCGTCCATGCCTTTGTGAAGGCTAGGTGCCCAATAAGTGAACAATAAATCCAGAACAGAAAATATAGAATGGGAAGTATTCATCAGGATTTTAAACATTTGTTTAAAGCCTTCATGAATAATTCTCATCTTTAACGAGGCTTACGGCCATATCACGTTGAAACACTGGTTCTGCTACGACCACCGAAGTCAAGCAACGTCGAGCCTGGTCAGTACCTACATGGGTGACCACATGTGAATATCAGGTTCTGTAAACATGGGTAAATTACTAAGACTTGTATCACTGAATCATTATTAACGCAAAAAAGAAAATTCTTACAATCTAAAAATATTTTCTGGCTTTAAATAACCTGCTAATGGTTGATAAGCCGTAAAAAAAAAAAACGAATAAATCAAGTCAAAATCATCTTTAAGATCTCCGGGTTTCTTTTATATTTTCCTTCGTTTGTTATAACATTTCCAAGAAAGTTAAATTTCTGTATTTGGTTGATTTTGACCTTTGCCTTTCTTGTTAACGACTGTTTTGTCGTCTGACAATTGATGGTTCGTTTTTCTTCTGTTTTTCCTTTATTACATTGTTTAGGATATTCCTCTAGTTTTCTTTCTGTGTCGTCTGTCATCAACACAGTGTCAACTGTGTGTTTTATACTGTTAAGATTTTGTCCACCAATAATAAATCCTGGTAGGATTTCTAGTTCTTTTAATAGGTTTTGTGTACAGGCTAAATAAATCAGGCGAGAAGATGCACCCTTGTCTTAGGCCCTTTCTATTTTTGTTATAACGGACGATGGAAAATGTGAAATAAAAATCCAAAGGAACGTTGGAATAGCGAAAATACCTTAAAAAAGACAAAGTATTAAGAAACAAGAAACGTTAGAAGAGTGATGAAATGCTAGTTAATATATCGGAGCATGTCTGTCCGCACATGCGCAGTAACTTCCCTGACAATTGGTTGTCAAGTTACATCAAGGCTGTGCTACCAGGTTTGGAAATATAAAATAGAGCATTATGTATTCAGGATAGACCTTACACGTCTTTGGCTTAATTATTTTCAAAATTTTAGTCCCATATTCGCTTGTGATTCCAAGGTTTTATCCAATGAGTATCTTTTAATTTGCAGAGATGCAACTGGGAAATTTCCAGATTATCCAGAAGAAGAAGACGGTGGATCTGCGATGATTTTCCAAGAAAAAGATCCAGCGGAGCTGGAAGCTGAACTCAAAGCAAAGGTTTGGCATTTTTATTTTTAAGCATTTCACCCCAAGCAAGGCGGGAAGCCACTATCACGCAAGGGGTTACAGAGGATTTGGAGCGAGAGCAGATAGGAGTGATAGAGGAAAGGATGGGGAAAAGGATAGTGTCTACCACTCGTCCCTTCAGCCCCTCAACCTCCGGAGTCTTCCTCTTTGGGTTGAGACGCCCACTCGGTCTGAACCGAACTCAGGGTTAGCTGGCCGCACGCTCCCTGAGTACCCGTAGATTATTCGACCGGTCACTGGCCAAGTTCCGCCCGTTGCCCACGTTGTGTTAGTTTTTAGATCCAGTAAGTGGCGTGTTGTCCATATGTTCACGGTCGATTGGGGATGTAGGCACGGCTGTGAGGATGGACGGCAGGAAAATTAGAATGTGGCAAACAAGGAAATAATATCTGCAGAAGCCGAACAACAATGTGCAAAATATTGATGTCTTTTATATAAGAAAACAACAACAGTAGAAAGAGTTTACAGAAAGGATAGAAAAGCAATTAACATAAGAACAGAGGACCACTCCTCTACCAATTATACCAACAGAGGGAGGTGTGTGTGTTTGATTAACTCGTTCCAAATCAACTTGGGAGAATATGTTACTCGTAATTCCAGCCCTACGTGGAAGTGTAGCTTTTCAGTTGGTTGTCGTAAGTAACAAATGTTAAGTTTCAGCGACTTTTCAATGCGACTGCTACAACGACGATGATATTTCTTGAAGTCCTTATCTCTGACTCGCCACTGGACCGACTCACTGCAACGACAGTCTCTCTCTTTCTCTCTCTCAACGTCACTCTCGCCTAACGCCCAAGTCTCCCCAACTCAGCAAAACTCGCGTTTATATAACAAACCGAAGGTTATAAGCCAGGTTGTTCACGCGCTTAACACGAGTGTCGCCATAAGCAAAGTTTAAATTCAGATCTATTTCAAATCTCTTAGCGGATAAAAATAATTAGTTCAATGTTCATTTCAATTGTCTTTTCGATGACCAAATTCAACGGATACAACTTATGTTTAGATCAGATTTCGCTAGCGGTAAACATACACTGATCTTACCTCCCCGGTCCAATTTACTTCAATGTTTTTATCAAAAATATTATTTTCTTCTATTTTTTTAATGACCCAAATTAAACATCGCCTCCTGCCCTTTTGCATTTGCTTATAAACAAGTCCTCGCCAACCCGATTTGAAATCTATTCTTTATCCATCAGCCGTCTCAGGTTTCATATATCATTGTTCTAGATTCTTTCCTATTAATAGCGCTGACACAGTTTGTAACTTTCACGGAAGATCGTGTTTTCCATCTTCAATCAATAAACGTTATATTTGCGTGGGTGCATTCATGTGCGTCAACCTCTCTCTGTTACAAGTGGATAGATCAAGGGAACTGGAAATGTCGATTGACATTACATTTGAATAGTTAGAGATTATATCTATCAGGGAAGCAGGAAAAGGGAAGGGAGTTCCACAGGCGAGAGGTGCGAGATATGAAGCTATTGGAGTAGAAGAGGCGGCTACATTTAACAGTTTCAACAGTGAAAAGGTGAGAGCGGGATGCCAGCCTCGTAGGACGCTTGAATTCATGAAGTCTGGGAACCAGCGAAAGCAGCTCATCGGAGCAATTACCATGAAAGTATTTGTAAAAAAGACAGATGGAGGCGACGGTACGTCTGTGAGAGAGCGACTGCAGACGTGATGCCAGATCAGGGCCAATTACATTGCATATCCGTCTCTGGATCTTATCAAGGGCCTCGAGGCAAACAGAAGGGGCTCCAGACTGTATTTTGCAGCAATACTCCATGCAAGGGCGAATGGTTGATTTGAAGGATCGAGAAAAATTTCCTGACACGGCACAGGGAGCCAAATTTCCTTGCGGTGGACGAAGCAATTGACTCAATGTATTTGCTCTATCTCAGGTCAGTAGTCAATGTGAGACCGAGCAGCCGCAAAGAGGTGCTCTCGAGAAGTTAAGCATCAGACATTCTAATGGTGGAGCAGGGAAGGATCTCTTTCAACATTAAAAAACGAATTTAAGTTTTAAGATACAGTGCCTTGGTTTTTTTCTCTTTATAGATGTGGCGAATAACTGGCTTATATTAAGATGAAATAATCGACAACTCCTATAGACATTCAATACTGATAGACATTATTTTTCATTTTCCAAAACTGATTGTAGTAAAAAAAAATCTGTCAAAAAAAAAAAAAAAAAAAAAAAAAAAAAAAAGAAATCAAAACAGCAGAGAATAATTTGTGGAAACTGTTTGGAACCGAGTTTACGTCATTTACAATTCCATACTTCTGATGCCTTTTTTCTCCCAATTCAGAGTTTTGCTCATTTTTCAAATAAACGGACTTTTGTTAATTTACATTTTTTTTTACAAAGATTTATTTTAAATAATAATAAAAAACGTATATATACATTTTTATACGATTTATTTTAAGAAAATATTTTAAATAACAATTGTTTCTGTAACAAAAATAAAATTGCTCCAAAAAATATATCTAAAAATGAGGAAAACCTTGATTTTGTGGGAAAAGGACACCAGAAATACGCAGTTATCAATGGCGTGAGCACAATTTCGAATTCGACATTTGTAAATAAAACCAAGTACAGATAACTCTTTAAGAAGTCAGAGACCAGTTTGACACTGTATTTAGATTATGAACAGTACCCAACTTCTGAAATGATAAGAATTGATATTTTTCGATTCTGATAAATGTGGATAGAGAAAGGTCTAATGAATGCGGATCTACAAAAATGATTTCCAAAAATAAATTCTTGCCTCTTATTTTTATGAGTGGGCCAATTATTTGAAATCGTATCGAAAAAAAAAAAAAAAAAGAAAAGAAAAAAATGGTTTCCATAAACTTATTTGTGATACTTAAAATTCATTCAACAATTTATCGGAGTCATTTTGCTTATTTCAGGAAGACGAAGAAGAACAAAAAAAGAAAGAGAAATCAAAGGAGAAAAAAGGGAAAAAAAAGAAAGATAAGAAAGGAAAGAAATCTAAAGATTCTGATGTAAGCTTCACACGACAATTTTTGTTCTTTTGCGAATTATTTTTGGTCGAAATTATTTCCATTCCAAAGTTAAATTGGAACCAAATCCATGTCAGAATTTTATTCAACGTTTTTATGTCCAGATGATATTTCTTTATATATTTCTATACTTATTATCATTATTTTTCATTTTGTATTAATGTTCATTCAATGCAACGCACAAGAGCCATTCAAGATATATAGTTACAGAATGAGTTTGTTGAATGCGTTCAAGAAGAGGAGGAGGAGGAGGGGGGGAATAGATCAGAAGTGTAGTTTATGAGGATATGTAGGTTAAACCTAAACTTCAAGAGGTGAAGATTGTAGTGATCAGGAAAGCACCCATATTCCGCAAAGTAGTGATTCTTGGGAAGAAGCTGTCTGAATGGAACTTTCTCCTTACTAATGGAATACGAACGGAATAGGGAGGGTTCGTCACAGTGTATGTGACGGCTTTTAGTTGTTAATATCAGAACTGGTGGAGCTAAATAATCTAGCACGACAGAACATTTGCCATTAGGCTTACAGTTGAAATTTCTATGACACAATGAGGAAAGAAGGCTTGGAGAATTGGATACTTACAGGACATAAATGGGGCAAAAAGAAACAGCGACTAACCGAGTAACCAAATGAGCTTGTATAAATGGATGACAGAACAGGGGCATAAGTTGTTTAGAGCTAACAAGGACAGGAAGTTGTGAAGCGCCATGAACAAACACGCCCTGAAGAGAAACGCGCATAAAAGAAGAATAGGGATTTTGAGGTGTAATCTGGATGACAAGATTATAGTTGAGTTGCAGGAGTTGGATATTTTCTTATATAGGCTAATTATTAAGGAAATATTTTCATAGATTATGGAAATCAATCGAGTGTAAAGATTAAAATTAATACAATTTTTCATAATTTTCTCAGAAAAAACCTTTGAATTTTTCCATGTAGCATTCGAAAATTCTATATTATCAAATTTCTAAAAGAGCTTGCATAATGATAATGCCAACTAATTAATACAAAAATACGTCATCACGTTGAAGACACCGGCTCTCATCTGATCATCGAAGTTAAGCAACGTTGAACCTGGTCAGTACTTAGCTCATTTATTGATTATTTGTATAATAATAATGATCCACTTTTGTCAAATATGCATGCCTTCAATCGTGACCACTGACAGTCACTCTTTACCTAATTTTTAAATTTACACACACACACACACACACACACACACACACACACACACACATATATATATATATATATATAGTAAAGGTAATAAATCCGTTGGTATATAATTCAAGTGGATCCTAATAATATAAAATATTAAAACTGATCCACAAAAAGAGCTCAATGTATTTATTATTACAGAGCAAATAATTAATACAGAATAAAATCCCAAATCACCTCATATGGGGAATAATCTTATTTCAACCGACGAAAATATTCGTCAGTCTTATTAAACTCCGGTATAGACAGAGTTCGTCTCGGAAATAGAAATTTTACCGCGAAAGTTAAAGAAAAAAAATCCGTCAAAAAAACTAATACAGAATTTATCCATTTCAATGTTTCAGTCAGACGAAAGGCACGAGACAGGGATCAGGGGAGGATGGAAGGTATTTTTCTTAAAGGAAAGAAGTTTTATAAAATTAAAACTTCTGACATTAAATTGGGGTTATATGAAGAATGAAATGTTAATTTAAAACTAAGAGAAGAATAAAAAGAAGCTTAAAAACCTTTAAAATATATAAAGTTATATTTAAAAATACAAAATTATACTTAGAAGTAAAAAAATCATATTCCAAAAACAAGTTATATTGAAAATAAGATATAATTTATAACTATATATATATATATATATATATATATATATATATATTTATATATATATTGGGATCAAATATGTATAAAAAAGGGATTAGAATCCGACAGAATGCTAGGATAAGGACACGGAGTTCCGATTTAGGGGTTGGTTGTAGAGTTCTATCCTTTTGAGCTAAATATTTTCGAATGTTAGTGTATGAAAACGGATTTGTTAACATTCTTAAAGTTATAAAAAATATCTGTGAACTTGTGGGGTCAGTCTACCCGGATTTTAGGTGGAAAATAAATTACGAGTGTCGTGTCCACAAATACAACACAATTTTTTATGCAATGAAATGATTTTCAGCAAACCAAGAAGACCAAGGTAAATATGACAGTAACATTTATACAGTCAGGTACATGTATTTACATATAAAAAAAATCTATGTTCTTTGTTGTGGCCATGAAGAGACCAGTAGTTCAGTTGCGAGAAATGATTTGTCGTAAGTGAGTCTGCAATGTGTGGAAATCAAGTGGTATGGTACGCCAATATGTGTGCGTGTGTGTAGCACGCGATAATGAACCATGTTTAAAAACACAGTGAACCATGAAAGGGGAGACTAGAATTATTTTCGTATGTTGAAAAATCATCGCTGACTGACGTGTTGTCATGGTACGTGTGTCTTTGTTGTTTATCGAGGTTGGTCTTATTCAATGACTGTCTTTCGCCAACAGTTCTTCACTGACTGTGTCGTTGCAGATCTGGTCACTGACTGTTGCTGTCGAGCCGTTTTTATCGCTATTTGACAGCCGGTGCTCGGATCACGAATCCTCTCTGAGTTTTGGCCGGAATGTACTCAGTTACTCTAACCCTGACCTATTTTCAGGTCATTTGGAAGTTCAACTGCGCGGATTTGAGATTACATCAAGTGACTTATCATATCGAATCAGGTTCCAGAAATCAGTTAATTAATTTGGAGACGTGTTTGTACACAATTGTTAAAAAAAATTTCGTATCCATTGAATTTAGTAATATTTATTTGTAACCGTCTCTTACTTGTTTGTGTTTCATTTATTGGTTGTAAAATATATATATATGTCCTATAAACTACAGAAGAAGAAAATTAAAGTTAAAACATAACAGTGTGTAATTGAATTTATAAATTTTGAAAAAAAAATGCATTTTCAGGACATTTCTTTCATTTGCTCTTATAAGATAAATTCAATAAAACAGGATGAGAGCCTCTGAATTTACACATTTTTTCTCTCAAGAATTTGCAAAATTGTTAAACACTTTTTAATGACGTGATTGTTTATTTACAAGAATAATTTGGCAAACTTTAACAAACATATCCGCAACAAGAAGAAGTATACAGTAATAAAGGTGGCAAGAGAAAAAGATTTCTTTTTACACAACGTTTTTTTTACGCGATCATTTGTTAAACTTTGCTAAAATTTCACTGTTAAAGCTTGACTGAAATTTAAGTCTTCCGAAGCAAATTGCTTATTACGTTACTAGTAACTTGAAGGTGATTGGGGTTTTGAGTGTTTAACGCTAATTTTTTCTTTCTCTACATTTCAAAACAGAAAGAAGAGTACGAAGGATGGAAAATGTCCCCGTCTCAGTTTGTTCCGGTGATTAATGATGGCTCGGAAAAATACAAAAGTAAGTGGATTTTTATTCCGTCTTTATTTCAGTGAGAAAACCGCTTTTTCATCCGTCGAAACCTTGTTCTCGTGCCATACCATTTGGTTGCTATATGTTTCGCTTTTGTTGGTGTATGAAAATTATTATTGACTCTATCCGTTATGGTGGTTTTCTAAGCGTAGCTTAGGTGTGGTACCAGGCCGAAAGTATGGGGCACCCAGTGAGGATCGAACTCACTTCTCAAGTGATCTCGCGAGACAAACTTGCTAACTTGCATCATGTCGAAGTGTCCAAAGTCTAATTGTCATGTGAATTCTCACGTCGTGCTCACCATCTTGCGTTGAGAATTGTAATGACTGATTGACCAGAGATTGGACAGTAGGACGTAACCATCCGCGGATTACCAAAGCCATTTCAGTTATCCGCGATTGGTCCAATCAGTGAAATTGTCGTGTTTAAATCTTTAATTAAACTAAAATGAATTGAGGGAATATATTAAAGTAAGTAAAATAATAATAATAATAATAATAATAATAATAATAATAATAGTAATAACTATTAAAATACAAGGATCTTGAAGTGGAAATCTAAAAAAAAAAATGGCACATGAGGACATCAATAATTCCGGTTGAAGTTGGAGACATCAGATTGATTGGAAAAGGTTGCATTGAAGGGATTCCTGGAAGTCCATGCCTTAAAGAAACACAAAAAATAGTACTCACAAATACAGCTCATACATTACGAAGAGCTTCATCTATGAACAATGTGTGGGATTTAAGCTATTTTACAAAAATGATTAGTAGAAAATGGCATGAAAACATTTCTGACTTTAGGTGTCTAGTTGGGACCCAGAAGGAAATGTGTGTATAACAGAAAACAAATAATAATAATAATAATAATAATAATAATAATAATAATAATAAATGACTTTTATATTTAATAATTTTGAAAATATGCAAAAATTCAATCAATTTAAATAACGCAAAACCATCAAAGTCATCTTATAAGGGTTTTCCCCTCAAGATAAAATGCCTATGATGGGTAAATTAATTTTAAAAATCCCATCATTAAAAATTAATAAAAAAACAAACAAAAAACGAACAGTCACAATTCCAAGTAGTCACAAATATTCAAACGCTGAATACGTCAGTTTTAAGCTAGGATTTTTCAGCTATGATTTGATAACGACCAATCATCTTTATTCTCAGACAAATTAACCATCTATGTTGAAGGACGGCTTTCTCGAAACAGCCAATTAGTCTGGAGGCCAAATCTCTGCACTAGACACAGCCTAGTCGTGTGGGTCTGCTTCTCTTCTACACTACTGAAATGTTTTTGTTTGCCTCATTTGCTTTTTAAAAGTTGATTTTTCACACAAGTAAAACATATTAGCGGGGGTAGTTGTGTCACTTCTGTCATCAAATGGGATTACGTTATATTTCATTCATTGTGCTAACGCCATATGTACTGTTGTAGTTGCTGTTATCATTGGCTAACTTAATGTATTTATTTGTAATGAATTAATAGTTAGCATAATGCAGGCAAATCAAACATGACATTGCTGTTTTAATAGAAAATGGATCTATTTACAATTGGCATAGGTTGTTGTCTGTGTGGGATCAAAGTTGATGTACTTTCGTCCAACTTATTAATAGAATTCATATTTATCATCGAACCACACTCCTGACAAATTCAAATCCATCTCCTAACTTTTCACCATTTTTTGAGTCTCCAATAAACCGTACTCAAATGACCTCAAGTTGTGCGGACATAGGCCATACTACATGCTAAATATACAGGTCTCGATTATTGACAACAAACCCAAATTTCCAGTTTACTGAACCTAGCTAATAAATAAAATGAATATGAAATAAAAACGAACGAATAAATTGAGTAGATTTTACAAAGGGGATAGATTACAAGGTGATCAGTTTATTGCTCTGTGTTTGTACTGTTCGGCCAGAACATTCATTTCAGCTCCGACGAGTTGTGAAATTCTCATTATCACACACGATTAGTGGCAGTTGGTTGTTCTACTTTTTTGCACTTACTTCTATGAAAACTTTTACCTCGCACTCCGACACATACATACCAACCTTTTCAACGAAGGCTGTAGCTATAAAAGTGTTTTTTATTTTAATGGAATTTAAAGCTCACTGAACACTTATTTTATCACTAAGGTCCTCTTTTATTTTCAGGAGTATACTGAAACTGTGCCAGATTTTTGTACGCGTTACTTGCGATTTGTTTCATTTTGGGATTTATTTTCGTTTAAATGCTTGGATTTCTATGTTTTTTTTTTTTATCTTACATATATTTATAAGTCTACCATTCGTCCATGCTTTGAATATTGTTGTCACATCTGGTCTGGTGTTCCTGCCATATTTTTAGAGATTCTTGATACAATCCAAAGAAGAATCTGCAAGTTTATTGATCCTGACCTGGCATTTCGGCTTCAGTAGCTTCGATGTGTAACGTAGCTTCCCTGTGCCTTATCTATACATATTTTCATGGTAATTGTTCTGATGACCTTTCCTGTATGCTACCTAGACTTTATTTATCTAAGCGCAGTACTAGATTGGCGATGAGGTCTCATCATTTTACAGTTGAAATGGTTAGATGTAACCGTAAGTTCTATGCTAACAGTTTCTTCTCTTGCACTTCTCACTCGTGGAACTCTTTTCGTGCTTTCCAGCCAACTTTGATCTCCAAAAATTTGAATGCAACGTCAATCGTTATCTTCTGCACGCTTAAATTCTGTTCTTTTATTATTCTCTCTCTTTAATAATGTTTTTTTTCATATCGTCTAACACTCAGATTTAGGGCCATATCACGTTGAAACACTGGTTTCCGTACAATCACCGAAGTTAGGCTACGTTGAGCCTGGTCAGTACTTAGATGGGTGACCACTTGAGAATATAAGTTTCTGTAAGCTTGGATGTGCGGCTGGAAATGTTAACTGGAGGGCTGAGTTCCAATTCCAGTTGGGATGGTTATATTCACTTACGCACCCTTGGAGAAAAGGTATGAATTCGCAGATATAGGTTAATTAGTATTACTTGTGTCATTCCCCCCACCAAAAAAAAAAAAAAAAAAGAATTCTTACAATCTAAAAATATTTTCTGGCTTTAAAAGAGTTGATAAGCCGTAGAAAACGAATAAATTATTCAATTTTACATTCATTAAAACCTTACGTCTTAATAGCTTTATTGCCGTGTTTGGGGTGAATTGATTAAAAAAAAATTCTTTGTCTATTACATTCGTGTTATTTCTTTTGTGAAAGTATTTTTCTGCTAGAAGACTTGGAATAAGCCGAACATATATTACGCTCGTGACAGTCGTTGTGTAACCGCCACGAAGCCCTGCTGGCCAGAACGGAATTCGAATGTGCATTGCAAGTGATAAAGTGCTACAATGCCAAGAGATATGGTGCAACATACGTTAGTTGCATTGTTGAGTGGTTGTTCGTCGAGCCAATATCCGGTCCTGCTGCATTTGCGTCAATTGTCTACTGGGGTTTATAAGTTTACAAGCCAAAGGCTAGAATTAACACAAGCAGACCAGAAAATATTTTAAAGTGTTTCACGACAAAATCTGATTAGTTTGGACAGCGCTGATTCCAGGAACCTGCGATTGGAACAAATTTTCTTTTTACAATGGTTCAACCAATATAAGACCTAAGAGTCACTCAAGGTAGAGGTAAATTATATAAGGATATTGTAAGGGCATACAGGGAGTAGGGAAGAGCTGCATACTGTGTAGATATATAGGATATATAAACGGTTGATCGTAGATTTGAAGAGGTTCTGATGGTAATGATCGTGGAAGCATCCTCTTGGGAGTCTGTTCAACAACACTCGGCTAAGAGAAACTGCTAATTCTAGCGTATTGTTTTTACGAATGTAAACAAACGCCAGTCAGCCAGAGTGCCCGTATACTTTTTACCAAAGAGCTTTGCGTTTTAGCATAGGCGGTTGCTGTTTGTAGAATTAAGCTGTCTCTCAAGAGTGCTCAATTGAAATATATTATCAAGAGCTTAATTATATATATATATATATATATATATATATATATATATATATATATATATATATATATATGTATTTATGTTTGTGTGTGCGTGAATTCTATAATTAATTCAATAATTATTATCCGAGTACGGACGAGAAATCACGAAAATCCGAATTGAACTGATAAATATTCTGAACTTATATTAATTATGATTCAGTATATGCTCTTCATGTTCAATATGATTCAGTATATGCTCTTCATGCATTGAGCACTTAATTTATTGTTGTGACCAAGTAAATTGTTAATGAAATGACAAAACTAGTGTTGCAGATATATCATATATTAAACAGTAAGTACAACAGAAGAGTATTACACGACTAGTGAGTGCGTGTCGGTTGACCCAGCGTTCAATCTATTCGACTGTTCCCTCAAGACCTTCTCTCCTACTAATCTTATAGTAAGCGGAAGAGTCCAACATTAGAGGGAGAACACCACAACATTTATATATTCGTCTTTGCCATGGAAATTTCCCGGCCTATTTTATATATATATATATATATATATATATATCGATATATATATATATGAGAGCTGGCAAATCCGCTACCTTGGTTTCAACTTTTCGGTATTTTCAGGCGATTTCGGTCAATTGATTTCCTAACGGTTTATTTTTATTTATTAAAAAAAATAATGAACGCTATATTATTTAAAAATAAATAAATAAGCGCACGACGTTAGGTGTAGTAGACGGAGAGGGAGATGAAGGAGGAAAAAAGTAAGTGTATTGGAAATGTATCGGTGTCGATGGGGTAAATGAAATCTACATACTTTCTTTTCATCCTGGCTCATATGAACTCAAAAGAAACTTAAGTTACAGCTCTGCTAGTAATTTAGAAATCAAAATAAAAAGACAAAACGCCGAAAAATTCAAAACTAACGTGCAGCAAGACATCGTTAAAATTGATATATGCAACTGTAGAAATAAAAATATATGTGCATTAGATGGAGTTTGTAAACGTGAAGCAGTAATTTACAAAGCAGAAGTAGTAGATACAAATAGTCACAAAAATATATATAGGGTGTACTGAAGGTAACTAAGAAGAGGTGGTATAATCACAAGTCATCTTTTAAGCTAGAAAGTCTTAGGTATTCTACTAGACTAAACAACCATGTGTGAAAATTAAAAAAAAAAATATCCGATTGCAAACTGGAAAATTTAAAAAAATGCAAAACCTTACAGCATTCATAGTAATATCTGCAACCTTTGTCAACAATGAAAGTTAGCTATAATAACATTTCCAGACCAAAAAAACCTTTTGAATGAGAGATTGGAAATTACGACCCGTTGCATACATACTAAAAAGTTTCTGTTGAGTTCATATGAGCCGGGATGAAAAGAAAGTATGTATATTTCTTTTAACTCTCCACCGATACATTTCCAATACACTTGCTTTTCTCCTTCCGTTCCCCTTCTACCACATCTCACGTCGACCACTTATTTATTTTTTAAATAATGTAGCGTTCATTAAATTAAAAAAAAAAATAAAGCGTCAGGAAATCTTCCGAAAGCACTTGAAGATACTGAATGGTTGAAACCAAGATGGCGGAATCGGCTGATCTCCTAATATTTTATACTCAAAAGCTCTAAATGTAAAATTTTAATTTTTTTTATACGTGTATTGAGCACTTTTTAATATTACTGTTTCCTGGTCTAAATCAACTCTGACCATTAACTTTTATTATATATATATATATATATATATATATATATATATATATATATATATATAGAGAGAGAGAGAGAGAGAGAGAGAGCCCGAGTTCGAATTCCAATCTGGTACGTTTTAAAAATATAGTTTAACTGTATGCTATATTTATGGGTAAAAGTGCTCAATATTAGTGATAGAGCGTGTGTAAATATAAAAGTGGACACTGAAGTCGACACCGTATGGCGACAGTTTACTTCATGCTTGAACACAATCTTCGGGACATTGACTGAAAATTGCACTCAAGCATGAGTGCATTTTGAAGAAAGAGGTTCAAGCGGTCCGCGGTCTGAGACATGCTTGTTAGTTGAAATGGAAATTTCATTGTATAATGATTGGCATATGTGATTAATAATGTCCAATGAATTAAGTGAATTGACAAGGAAGAAGTGTATGTTGAAAAATAAATATTTGTTGTCCAAAATAAATGGGCTTATTGATGTACGTAAGCACATTGCTGTTGCAGACGTCTGGTCACATCGGGATGAGAGCGACAATTTTATGCAAAAACATGACACAGAATTGATCAAAGAGGAGAAAAGAGTGGAAGTGGAGACCGAGATACGTGTGCAGGTTGACGAGCTGATGAGGGAGGAACTCAAGAATTTGAAAATGGTAAGAGATAAGTTTGTATTTTTGTTTCATTCACATTTGGGTGAATTGCATATTTAAATATTTACACGATAAAAGATTTGCTCAATGCATCTATCTATCTATCTATCTATCTATCTATCTATCTTCGTCTCGTCCTCTTTTGTATTTGGCGGACGTGCAGGTGATGTAACGAATAGCGACTCGGAATGAGAAATTGGAGACCCGAATTTGAACTTGGGAAAGGTGTGTACCAGTACTTCTCCCAACTATGGGTTAAATAGTTGGGCTTTTTTCTAAAAAAAATAAATAATGGTTATTCTTAACAAATTGTTAATGCAATATTCACTCGCAAAAATTCTTCTTCTTCTTCTTCTTCTTCTTCTTCTTCTTCTTCTTCTCTGACCCATGTCCCTTCATGATGTGGGCGGTCATGGCTCTTCACAATTTCCTGTCCTTTGTAGCCTTTAGTAAAGTTTGTCTTTTTGCTATCTCTCCTAATCTCTGTTTTACCAACACAAGCTCGTTCGGTAGGTTATGCATTGTTTTTCTTTGCTCCTCTTACCTTCAATATGCCCTGTTTGTGTCAAATATTCCAAGCCCTCTTTCCTCATTATGTGCTATAGAAATTTCCACTCTCTCTTTCCGATGCTGCATATAAGTGTCCTTTTTTGTTTCCATTTTCTCTAAAACTTCGACGTTACTCATGTGTTTAGTCAATGGTATTCCCACCATCTTCCCGTAGAACCATATTTCTGTTGCCTCAAGTCTCTTCTTCATCTGTGAGGAGATAGCCCATCATTTACGACCCACATAGGAGAAAGGAGACTACATTACAGTTATATACCTTTTTCTTTGTTTCTAATGAAAATTTCTTGTTTTTTTTCAAATATTTTTCTTACCTTTTGGAAGGCATTTTTCTCTATTCCAACGGGCCTTTGGATTTCGGGCACACATTTTCCGTCCCATGTTAAAATACTTCCTAGTTATTTAAATTGTTGTACTTGTTTCATTTTGATATCTCCAATTTGTAATTCGCAGGGTTAGGGTTGTTCCCTTTTGCTGACAACCATACATTCTCTCTACTTACAATTGATGTTTATTTCTTTCTTTTCGCTTTTCTTTACTATCTCTTGTAAGGGTTTCTGTACTTACAACACCGAAAAAACATGTATCGATTTTAAATAACACACAAACTGTTGATAAACCGTAAAAAATTCAATCAATCGTTTTTATTTATTTACATTCTATTTTTAAATACATTTTTCTACGTCTCTCCCTCTCTTTTTGTCTCTCTATCTCTCTATGTGTTTCTCTATTTATTTGCTTTTCTCCTTTTAAAGCTCCCCTTAAATCTGTGTTCATTTTCTATGTGTCTCACCCACATCTATTTCTATTCCTTTAATCATTTCTGTCTCTGACATATCACGTTGAAACATCGGTTCTCGTCCTATCACCGAAGTTAAGAAACGTCGAGCCAGGTCAGTGCCTAGATGCACGACCCGGACAGCTTGGGAATACCAGGCGCTGTAAGCTTGGATGTGCAGGTGGTGTAATAAATAATGGATCGGAATTATAAATCGGAGAGCCGAGTTCGAATTCCAATCTGGTTCGTTTTATTCACTAAATACCATTGGAAAAAGTATGAATCTACCACGTGTCCCTTCCAACTATGGATTAAGTAATAGAACTTGTATCAGTAAAATCATTATTATCGCCCCAAACATCTTCCAATCTAAAAAAAATAAATTCTGGCTTTAAATAGCCATCAAATATTAATGAGCTGCAACACTCCTACAAAAAAATTAAATAAATAAAACAACATTTCTGTCTTTTACTGTTATCCCTGGCATTGTTCTTTGTGTAGGCCTCAGTTTATTTTCAAAGAAAGATTTTGGTTTAATTCCTCTGTTTTTGCATCCATGACATCTTAAGTGACATTCGACATTTATTATACACTTTACGTTTAAAGTATCTTGGCAAAGTGCTTTTCATTTTTTCTCTCTTTGTTAAATGCTTTACATTACGTTTCTTCTTTGTTAGATTTCGTTGTCTGAGGTAAATTTAATGGTATCGTCTATGCAAAATAGATGTTTTTGCAGACTTTATCTAAGTATGTTCAAATCTTCTTTCTTTCTTTCTTTCTCAGTCCTTTCATATCTATCTCTGTATATATCTCTGAGATGAGGTATTATGATGACGTACATTGTTTACATTATTCGGACTCGGACTCATTACCATATTTACAATGTTTCGACCGTTGTAAGCCCCGGCCTTCTTCAGGGGATTGGAATTTCGAACTGAACCCTTTATTTCGTCCACCGGGGTAAATTGTTCTAGTTCCACGTGCCATGTCTCTTCCGGATGTCTCAGTTATTTCTCTTCAGCTCAACTTTCCATGTTTTGGTTTTTATGTAGTCTGGTATTGAACTCACAACTCTTTGGGTCGAGTCACTGGATCTAACCAACGCCTTTATCTTTGAGGACATCTGTACATGAATCTTTTGGACTTATAAACCTTAGGTCTCCAATCAATTTTTAACAGTTCTCATATTGCAATTTTTTTGTTATTATTATTGCTTTTGTACCAGAGATTATATTGCAAACATTCTCCCTTTATATATACTGACATACCTTTTCAGCTTATTTTCTGAGAGCTAGTTTCAAGGCTTTCTGTATGTAGTTTAGGTGAAAGTGTAACACCGTATCCTCATCCCACTGGACCTACGCACTCCACCAGACTGGCCGTTGGACCGGCATAGTCCAGTATTACAAGTTAGACACAAATCTTCCTTCCCAATGTCAATTCCAAGCCACCCTACAGCCACATTGTGATATTTTTGATCCTGGAGAGTGGTCATCCGATCGTAGAAATCCAGAAGCTCCCAGCTGGTCCATCTGTGAGTTCGTCGGGTGAGAATCGGGTTCAGAAAAATAAATAACGAAGTCGATTCGATTTTGAAAAGACAAAAGTTATTCTTATATATATAAAAGCACACACACACACACACACACACACACACACACACACACACACACACACACACACACACACACACACAAAACAAAATAATTCTTGTTGCACAAAGTTGAATGTTTCTTGTATGTGAACAATAACCAAACACAAATACTTCGAATAATTTCGGTAAGGAGATATGTGGCCTTCGTTTTAACCCTTTTTGGTTTGTTCTTAGCGCAACTACTACAACCTTCGATATTCCCATTCTCAGTAGTCGTAATAGTAGTAGTAGTATTAGTAGTAGCAGGAGTAGTGGTACTTAGATGTTAGCGGCGGTATTTCGCTTCTCGTCCTTTGTTTTAGTAACACACAGCGGACGCTTTCTCTTCAATCTCTGACATCACTCCACTCAGTTCGACTGCATTCGAAGACACACGAACCCGAAACTCTCCTATCTTCCGGTTGACTTGCCTCTTTATATGGAGAAGTGGTGACTAGTGCGAACGTACTGACATACTTTCAAAGTATAATTTCACTCCTCCGAGAGTAAACAATTTACTTTTCATCGATTGGTTTTCAAGTTCCACAATAACACTATTGTTATCACTCTGCTATCAACCACTCTTCTGCTTTTTGTAAACTACAGAAAGTCTTGTTTCAAAAATAAATTCTAGATCAAGCATCCTTTATTTTAATTTCGATTCTCATAGTGTCAAAATCCATTCCTTTTTCTAAAAGTTTCTAAATTATCATTGTTCCAGTAATTTTCTATTAGTAATCTGATATCCTTTGTACAATTACAAAAAGATTGTATTTCGTGTTCTAAATTAACTTTCTGTAACATTTGCATTTCAAAGTCTTTACAGCCTTTTTGACATCTTGGTTATTCGAAAACGCCTCCCTTCACTTAGTGTTTTCTGTTTTCAGCATGTTCCTTTTTTTCATTATTATTATTTCAGGGGTGATATCGTTCGTCCCTGTCACAAAAGCATAAACGTTTACCTTACTCCCTTTCCAATTTTGTGTAGACAATTTATTCTTTTACTCTTATTTTACATATTCTCAATAATTTTCATCAATTTTCTGCTCTTGTAAAGAGTTAAAGACTGCTGATTGTTTTAACGAGTCAAATGCCTTTTCATTAAAACCTAAAGGGAGTAGTTTGTTATAGCCGGTTTTTTAATCAATTAATCTATTATTTGTAGATGGTCAATTTCCTGTCTGCCAGGTTAGTTTTCCATTAAAGTATTTGTCAGTCTGTCTCTAAGTAATTTCAATATTGGTATATATTCCATAGGAATGTGATAATGTCATAGTGCCAACGTTTTTATTACCCCTCTTTTTTACAAAGTAGAATTACTATTTCTAAACTGAAGTTTTGTGGTAATTTTTTTGTATGCATTGTGCTAATAGTTGTGCTAATCCATTGTGGAATTACTCTCGTGCATGTTTCAAAAGGTCTGTTACTGTGCCATCTTTGCCATGGTCATTCCGCATTTAAAGTATTTTGGTAAAGTCCTTTTTATTATCTCTCTCTTTGTTAAATGCTTTCCATTCCATCTAGTATATACCGGTCATTTGATCTATCATTTGTAGATAGGCGATTCCTGTAGAAATTAAGAACTGATAACTCTGTAAAACGTTATGGGTCATATTTATATTATGAAAAGAACCTATCTTTTAAATCGATGAAAATAATATGATTCTGATATTAGTAAAATTTCTCTAGGAAATCGTAGATGCTTTCAACATTCTACATCTATACTTACTGCCATACGTTAACAGTTTCTTGTGTGAAAGACACTTTCATATCCTACTGTAAATAGTTTAGTTAAAATCGTATCCCCTTGCCCCACTCCTTTTCTGATCTTTACTTTATCTATATCTTTGTGTCGTTGAATTATTAATGTGTAGTCGAATTATTAATGTTATAGCATGTGCTTCTGAAAAACATCTCCCAACAAAGGTTTATGAAGTTTTTAAAAGAAGTTTTAAAATTTCATAAAATGAAAAACAATAGCGTAGGATTACTATTTTTATACTGAAGTTTAGAGACACTTTTCTTTTCTATGTACACTGTGTAAATGGTTGAGCTAGTCTTTTGTATAATTATTCTCCTGCATGTTTCAAAACGTCTGTTATTATGCCATCTTTCTCCTCAAGGCACTTGATGCAGGCCTCGCTGTTGAATCTGAGGCCTTCACCAACAAATTCGGGAATTCTTTTCTTATCAGAACGATCATCATTAGACTCATGCAACTCTTTCTGAATCCTCTGCAATGTTCTCAGATTGATACCCCGACACACTGGAATGTTCGTATTGGAGCTTCCGGCGCGAATACCGAGCAGTACAGTATGCCGTTTCCAAATTTCTGGTGGAGTAAATTGCGTCGTGGTGGTCTTTTCCTTACAGACGGTGCCCAACTGACCCTACTATACTGTGCAGTCGATAAAATCAAAAACAAACAACGCACATGCGCGAAATTAAAAATATAAAATGGGGACAATTTACCCATCGCATCCTGTATATGTGTGTGAGAGTTTGTGTGTGTGTATGGGTGCATCAATGCGTCCATAGCCTAATGATGAAAAAAGCACTTGTTTTATATAATAAATATTAGCATTTAAACTTAATTTTCTTCCTTGTCAAAGCACTTAATCCAGTGGTGACTATATTTCTATAGCTCAAATATTATGCAATGAAAGTTTCATACAAAAATTATTTCATATCTTAATGACGAATAAAAACTTTTTAAAAATTAATTTCCTTCCTTGTCAATGCACAAAAATTATTCCATAGCCCAATGATGAAAATAATTTACCTTACACAATAAATATTTATTTTTAAACTTAATTTCCATTCTTGACAATGGTGACTATAATCACGTAGATCAACCATTTTGCAATGAAAATTTCAGATGAAAATTCATCTACGTGCCAGACTACCGATGTGTTTATCCACTCCTGTATTTTCCGACATGTTTGATTTTGAGAAAGCTTTCCAATCCTGTGTATGTTTACCTTTAATTTTAATTCGTCTTTCATCTTCTCTTCCTGCAAAGGCCGTGGATCGGGAGAAAGCGAAGAAGAAAGGGAAAAAATCTGGCAAAAAGAAAAAGAAAGGCAGCGGCAAAAAGGGAAAAAAGAAAAAAGAGAAAGATCTCACGCCAGACAGGTAAATAAAGATATGTGAGTTTCGGTGATGGATTATGAAGAGATTTGGCGGGTTCCATTTCATGTGGTTAACCGAAAGGCGCATGTGGTGAGGAAAGTGTAGCAAGTAAGGCAGTAAAGCCACTAAGACACAAGGGGTTACTGGGTGCGAAAGAATGAGAGAACAGAAACATTCTTAAGGAGAAAGAACAATAAAAGAACCATCAGGAAGACAACAGATAGCGATTGACATTGCATTTAAATTTTTGAAGATCGAAGTTGGCTGGAAAGCATGGAGCCAGCAAAGATTTCCACAAGCGAGAAGTACGAGAGAAGAAATTGTCAGCATAAAACTTACAGTTACATCTGACCAATTCACCTGTAAAATGATGAGGCGTAGCCAACGATCTAGTACTGTGCTTAAATTCATAAAGTCTCGGTACCATTGCGAAGAGAGGAAGAAGATGCCTTTTAAAAACTGTATTTTCAGGTGTACGGACAAACTGGAGAGTAATTCCTTTTTTTTCTTTCATATCAACTGGCGTCAATGTCAAGGGAAACCGAAGACACATTTTTCTTTTCAAAATCAATATTTAATTCAGCTTTGGAATATTTTTTGTCATCAATCTATTTTCAATCGAAGAGGGTTGCTTCCACCAACCCAACTTCGGTCACGATATCCTTTATTCAATTCTTGTCGTTGAATAACGTAATTTTGATAAACCCCAAACGTAGGTTCGTCGCCTGTGTTTTGAATCAGGAGGTCATTTTTTTTCAAGTTAGGAGCCTTTGAGTCAGAATTTGCCAACTAAAATTAGTTAACTGTGGGGTGAAAATAATTTCCGACGTCATGTAGGCTTTCTAGAACCCCTTGGCACATGGTCACCCCCCCATCTAATCGCTGACGATGAGTTTGAAGAACTTTATGCAGACGCCATGAAACAGAAACCAAATTAATGAAAAAACAGGAAATCGCACTTATTATTATTTGTTTTGCTCTCCTCTCTGACTCTTAGATGTTTCGGCCGGGTAAGGAGGGTCGTATCTCAGCTCCTACGCGCAGCTTCGAGAAAAAATAGCAGTTCTTTAAAGCAGTCTAATCGATTCGCGACGCTTATGATTGGCTAAGACTGAAACGGATTTGCGTGTTCTTTAATGTTCGATGCTTACGTTTATTTAAGACGTACAATATTGTTTTGTGGCACAAGGCCGAAAGGGAAGTAGGGAAAAGCGAGTCACATTGTCTAATTTAACTCGCGATCTATTCATTCTAATAATTTTCTCAATCACTACAAGAACCCATCATTCGCCATCCCATCCAACATGTACCACAATACCATATCTTCGCAGGGATCCTAATAAAATACCCATGATGTTAAAAATTTCTTAATATGTATAAATATTTTTCTTCTTTTTTAAAAAGTTTTATTACAAAAATATATGAAAATTTACACATGAAATGAAGGGCTGAACCCAATAATTAAATGCAAGAAAGCAAAACATTCAAACAAAAGTAAAACTGTGTCAGTAAGACCTGTCCAACCAACAAAAATAAGAGCGGCCGCTGTGTTCTGCTGCTAAGCAATATCAAGATAGTTCATTCACTAGTTGACAAATCAATTTGGCAATGTGGAAATGTATAAGGCTGGTCCAATCAAGTTTAAAAAAAGAGTATAAAAAACTGGGGAGATTGGGAATCTTGACAAAGACCGTAATAAAAAAAGAAGGCGAGGACCAGGCCGAGGTCACTCAGATTAAGTAGGCGAACAAAAGGAGACTAGCTTAACCAGGGGTGGTGTCCAACACTTTAGGTGACTAAAAATAGAAATCAAGATTGACCCGATTCACGTGATCAAAGGCTCGAAACTCACACTCACCTTTTGCTGAGATCTGCGGAGGGTAAACGCATTCTCTCAGTTCTGGTCTTTCATCCTGAACTGATGCTCAAAGAATCTAATCAGATCCTGATGAGAATAGTGTTCGTCTCGTAAGATTAACTCCATTCGCTTTACCCACACCACCATTCTTTCGCAATGCTTACGATCGGCTAACTGTCAAAAGTATTTGCATGTTCTTTAAAGCAGTCTCCCCGACGCGCAACGCTTACAATTGGTCAGGAGTGAAACTGATTTGCATGTTCTTTAAAGCAGTCTCCCCGACGCGCAACGCTTACAATTGGTCAGGAGTGAAACTGATTTGCGTGTTCTTTAAAGCAGTCTCCCCGACGCGCAACGCTTACAATTGGTCAGGAGTGAAACTGATTTGCGTGTTCTTTAAAGCAGTCTCCCCGACGCGCAACGCTTACAATTGGTCAGGAGTGAAACTGATTTGCATGTTCTTTAAAGCAGTCTCCCCGACGCGCAACGCTTACAATTGGTCAGGAGTGAAACTGATTTGCATGTTCTTTAAAGCAGTCTCCCCGACGCGCAACGCTTACAATTGGTCAGGAGTGAAACTGATTTGCATGTTCTTTAAAGCAGTCTCCCCGACGCGCAACGCTTACAATTGGTCAGGAGGAAACTGATTTGCATGTTCTTTAAAGCAGTCTCCCCGACGCGCAACGCTTACAATTGGTCAGGAGTGAAACTGATTTGCATGTTCTTTAAAGCAGTCTCCCCGACGCGCAACGCTTACAATTGGTCAGGAGTGAAACTGATTTGCATGTTCATTAACCTAAAATAACGGCTTCATATAGTGGGATGCTTTCACCGACGAGGTCAGTCCCCATTTTCTTTTGTACAAGCAAAACAAAACGATTTTACTCCTATTAAATTTTCTTCGATCTCTTTATTGTTTTTATTTTTAATTTTTTTTTCTTAGTGATTACCAAAAATCACCAGTGTACTGTAATACGTCATATGTATCTGCCTGAATTTCTAGAAGAGGAGTTATTTTTTGCACTTTTTACATTGGGACTATTGTCCTCATCCTTGTCGTTGTTATCATTGCATTTCGGTCGCTGTGGCCCCCAGCCTTCATCATGTGTATATCGGTCTGGGTAACCTATAGGGAAATCCGAACTGAACCTTTTATTTAATCTACAGGGTTAGACTGTTTTCGATCCACTGCCAATACCTAGTATACCATATCTAGTCTATTTCTTGCTTTTACTACTGCTCAGTAATTGCTTACTCTTTTTTCACTGTACACACTGTCCGGCCCAGGGATTGAACACACAATTGCTATGTCACCAAATTTACAAGCCATCGTTTTAAATCCCGTAGAACAATAGCCCGGTGGAGTAAAGTGTTTCTTCGTGAAATTTGGTGACATAGCAATTGTAAGTTCAATCCCCGGGCCTGGCAGTGTGTATTTTGACTCAGTGGACGAACAATAACTGATCTGTATTAAAATAAGAACAAAATGGGATATCCTTGGACATAGGCAGTAGAACGAGAACGATCTACCTCCTTAGATTTAATAAAGGTTTCAGTTTGAAATTCCCTGTATTATTATACACCTGGCGAAGTTCGGAGGGAACAACTGCAATAACAACAACAAAAATGAGAGTAAAACTCTGTATAAAGTCTAAGTAACGTTACATTTAATCCTGCAATGCACCATTCTTTTTATAGACGTTTGTCCATCTTTCAGGTCGATTGAGTCGTTGTACGAGGAACTAGTAATGCAAGGTATTATTATCCCTTCTCCAAAAGTGAATTTATTTGACTATTTGGGAGATTATGGTTATTTAGGAACCATATTGCGTCAAGCTGGATCCGAACCAATGCCAAGCCTCAGTGATATCCGTCGAGTGATCACGCTCTTTGCTATTCTCCCTCTTGGTGAGTAGAGAAATTCATTTGTTTCATTTGTTTATCTTTATCTTTACAAGAGTTGGATTATTTATCGCTACAAAAGTCTAGACCAAAAATGAAGTTGGTCTGAACTAGAACAGCCCACTCTTCACTCTGTTCAGAGTTGATAGTGTTCAAAATCGTTCTCGCTGTCTTTTAGGACACAACTTATTTTCTATTCTACAGCCTCTTTCCACACAGTCGTAAAGTCGTAGCCTGTCGCTAATCTATCGCTATTGCGATGGCAAGTGTTCTACTGTTTAATTCCACCATTAAAAAATCACTTCAAGAAAGGCAATAAAGCCATTAAGAGTCAAGGTGTTACAGTGATTGAAAGGGCCAGAGAAAATGTTATCGAGGATAAAGGACAATAAAAGAACGGGATTAAAAAAAAAAGAAAATGACAATTGGCGTTACGTTTTAATTTTTGGTGTTCTTTGTTGTGGCCATGAAGAGACCAATATTCCGAGTGTTCGAAATGATTTGTCGCAAGTGTTATTGCGGACATGAAGAGAACAACAGTTCGATTGTTGAAATTGATTTCAATGGGAGAATCAAGTGGTATGATACGCCAATATGTTTTTGTGCTTGTATGTGTGAAGTACACGTTACCGAAACATGTGTGTGACTGCTGACTGACTGTGTGCGATAGCATTAATTTTAAATACGGTGAACAAAAAGAGTGGAGAGGTGTGACTTTCTTTCGTCGTAGCGTTGTATGTAGAAAAATAATCGCTTGCATACACGTTGTCATGGTACGCGTGTCTACGTTGTTGATCGAGGCCTGGTCTGGTTCGTCGATTGTCCTTCACTGATTGTGTCGTTGCAAATCTGGTCGCTGACTGTTGCTGACGAGTCGTTTTTATCGCTATTTGACAGCTTATGCTCTGCTCACGAATCCTACCTGATTTGTGCGCGGGAATGTACTAGTTATTGCTGCCCTGACCTACTCCAAGGTCATTTGGAGTTCAACCGCGCGGACGTAGTAGACAGCACATCACGTGACTTGTCCTATTCAATCAGGTTCCAGGAATCACTTATTTAATTTGGAGCCGTGTTTGTACAGAATTGTAAAAAGTGTTTTTCGTATCTACTGAATTTAGGGAGATTTATTTGTAGGTGTCTCTTACTTGTTTGTGCTTCACTTAATGGCCGTAAAATATAGTAGTGTATATCCTATATATATTACTGTAAATTGGTCATATTGAAATATAACGATTAAAATCGGTTAAACTGGTTTATCGGTCTTCTCTCATTGAGAGTAAAAATGGAGGACAAAATGTTCATAGCAGCTAGAAAAAATACAACCCCAGAGTAATATCATGTACAAACAACATTAAATGCTAATTACTCTTAAGCTCACCAAGCACACCTTCTGTTTACAAAGAGATGGTTGGTAGGACTTAATATCTATTGATTTCAAAACCTTCAGGTGCTATTAGCTTTACTCAGTACTGAGAACATATCCGCGCTATAAGACCAAACACACTGCTTTTTTTTTAAACAAATATTCAGCTATCACTGAACCTAATGAGTTAACACAAATATTCATCAATATTCACAAGGGAACGTTGTAAAATTTGTTATGAATGTTCTTTGAATATGTTTGTTTTTATTGCTGCAATAAAATGTACATTCACAAAAATATCTCTTTAGCTTGAAGTTTAAGGCACTTCTATGTGGTATAATGGTTAACTAGCTTGTCTTGCTAGATCAATTACGTCTGACTAGTGAGTTCGATCCTTACTACGTGCTCCGTACATTTGGCCTTGTGCCATATCTAAGCTACGTTTAGTAAACCTTTATACGCTTTAGCTTAAAGTTCCTTGCTGTGATCTGTATCAGACAAAAACATCTTCAAGAACTTACAATAATTCTCTGCAATTTACTTGATACCCCTATCAAATTTGGAGAGGTTTATAAATTTACTTACTACAATAAAAGACCCTCCCCCCCCAATATTACTTCATCTTCACCTGCTGCTTTCTAGGTTGTACAGTTTGGCTATTTCCATGAAATGTCAAACCTCGAGCCTGGTCATCAAGTTCAACTAATGTCGCTCGACATTCACCACTCGTCCTTCAGTTACCAATCTCACGAGCCCAGGTGAAACACTCTGTCATGGTATTCGAAGGCCACTCTGTTGGGTCTTCCGCTGTTATATTTGAACTGATGCTTGGTGTCTGGTAAAGCTTGCATTTAATGTGGATGAGCTTTTAGCTAGTCTCGTTTGTCTGTTATCAAAGACAACTCATGATCATTAAGGGACCGTAGTAAACCAATGCGCTGTTCACGAACGGTAGTAATGTCTTCGTCTTCTTTACCGTCCAGTGCGTTCGAGACGTCCCATATTTTTATTGCTTTAGTGTAGATAGTTTCGATAAATGATCTGTCTGGCTCCCGCATTCCTGTACATTGTTGCATTTTTGTGTGAAGATGTCCTTGTTTTGTTCTAAATATCATATAATCTTTTTTGGATTCAACACAAAATTTTTTGTCGATACAAACCGGATTAAAAAAACAAAAAAACAAAAACTGATCAAATATTAAATTTAGGTTAAATTTACCTGCTGTATATTCTTAAATTCTAAAAGGTCAGTGCATATTATACACCTGATAATTTTCTAGAATTTCGTATCCCGTGCGAATTACGAAGTCGTATCGTATACGAACAATTCTGTTATGTGTGCATGTGTGTTTAGTTTAACAAGACTGTTAAAATTGTTTAACAAAAACATTTAAAATCTTCGATGAAAATTATTTGTAGGATTTTTTAATTTTGCACTCTAGGCTCGACTTTTGTGCATGAGAAATCTCCTCTGATCAAATCCATTCTTTTGGCGGGTCCTCGAGGCACGGGTAAAAAGATGTTGGTGCACGCGATTTGTACCGAGACAGGAGCCAGCCTTTTTGATCTTAGCGCACCAAATCTCGTTGGTAAATATGGCGGGAAAGAAGGTCTCAAGATGTTGATGCACCTTATAATGAAGGTACATTTTTCATTTTCTCAAATTTCTTTATTTCATTCACTTTCACTTTTCTTTATTTCCGTTTTTATTCTCTTTTCACTATTTTTTTCTATTCGTTTCTCTCTTTTTCCTTTTTTATTTTTCTCTTTATCTTTCTTTTTCTACCCTTATTCTACACCTTTTCTTTCTTTCTTTCTTTCTTTTATGCACTGTGTCCCTTCATGACGGTGGCGATCATGACTCTCCACAATTTCCTGTCCTTTGTAAGTCTTAGTAATTTTTTGTTATTTCTCCTAAGCCCTGTCTTGCAATCTATTTACCCAAACTCGTTATGCGCTTCTTCTGTTGTCCTTCTTGCTTTCAATATCTCTTGTGTGTATCAAATTTTCGGAGCCCTCTTTTCTTATGAATTTTCAATGATCTCTTCCTGATGTTAAGCATAAGTCATTTTTCTTTCCATTTTCTATAAAATTTCGTCGTTGTTTTGTCCATGGTACATTCTCAGCATCCTTCTGTAGAAACACGTTTCTGTCGTCTCAAGTTTATTCTTCATTTGTGAGGAGATTGTCCAACATTCACTGCCATATAAGATGATTGATATTACATAAGAGTTCATCACTATTTTCTTTGTTTCTAATGAACTTTTCTTGCTTCTTGATACTTTGCTTAGGTTTTGGAAGGTATATTTCGCTATCCTAATGCATCTTCGAATTTCAATGTCACATTTTCTGTCCTCTGCTAAAATACTTTCCAGATATTTAAATTGTTGTACTGCTTGATTTTGGTATCTCCACTTTGTAATTTGCCTGTTGGACTGTTCCTTTTGCTAGCAACCATGCACTATATCATCTTGTAATTAATGTCTTTTCAATTCCCTTTACTACCTTCTATAGGAGTATCTTTAGTTTCCTTTCTGTTTTTACTGTCAACACTGTGCCATCTGCATATCTTATGTTGTTAAGACTGTAGCTGCCAATAATGAATCTTGTCAGGACTTCTATTTCTTTCAGAATTGCCTCACTGTATAAGTCGAATAAGTCCGGTGAGAAGACATCCTTTTCTTACAACTCTCTATTTTTGTGTATTTACTTAATTCATTTTCTATCCGCATGCAGGCAGTTTGTTTACAGTATGGTTTATTCTAATATCCTTCTCAAATATGTCAAATGACCTCTGAAACAAACCTGTAAACCATCAGGCGATCAAATTGATTATTTATGAAGTTTAGCTAGGTCTGACACAAGGAGTCGCTAGAGATGCGCATAAGGAGGATTGGACTCACTTTATATGAGGGGGCGGTGATAAATTCCCTGTTCGACTAAAAAATCAGAACAAGTCATTAACAACTTCTGATGTTTCGTCATCTGGTAAGATTTTGTCAAGAGGCTATTTTGCTTCATACAAACAGAAATAAAAAAAATAATTTTAGGCAAACGAAAAGTCAGAACACTAAATCACTGTGGCTAGTTTAAAGCGGGAAATGAATCGGTTAAATTATTTACACTAGTTACATTGTTCGGACTGTTTTCCTCATCTTTGTTGCTATATTCCTGACGTTTCGGCCCTTGTACGCTCTGGCCTTCTTCAAGTATTTTGAATTTCGAACTGAAACTTTTATTTCTTCCAACGGGTTCTAGTTCCATGTGCCATGTCTCTTCCAGATATCTCAGTTATCTCCCTTTAACTCAACTCTCCAAGTTTTTGTTCACCTCAGCTGTAGACAGGTATTGAACTCACAACTCTTTGGGTCGGGTCATTGGATTCAACCAGTGTTTTTTTCCACTGGGCCATGTGTCGTGAATATGGCAACAAAGATGAGGACAACAGTCCGAACAATGTAAATAGTGTAAATAATTGCATTACCTCATCTCTATGAGACCTGAATGTCGAAGTAGGGAAAGAGAGATGAGGATATTTGGCAAATTAGTAATCATAATGAACGTAGAGAAAATGTGTCCAATGGTGAAGGCGAACGATCAGGTAGTAGGTAACACTTGGTTTCAAAAACACCTAAAGCATATATAGACATGGAGAAGGCAAGGAGGAGAAACGAAGAACCAAATTCCTTACATAGCACTCAATGTGAGGTTCGGGTATGCAGTTTTACACTGTAAAACATATCCAAATGCCGATTGCAGGCGCAGCCACCTTCCAGTAATATGTAACCATAGAGTGAAACTACGGAAATGGAAGATGGCCAAAACAGCACCCAAATTGCAATACGACAGACTCCTGAATGATCCGAGTTTGAAGGAAAAATATACGGACAAATCAGATACAATGAACTAAATAACAATGGAAATTTGAAGTAGGACACATTAAGAGAAACTTTAGTAACACCAGCAAACTAGATCCGCCCCGACTCCACCCAAAAAACTAGATAAGGAAGAAAGGAATGGATAACAGATGAAATTCTCGACAGCAAACAATATCAAGGTATGGCACATAGCATATAACATTGTATAACGAAATTAAGAACAAATGGCCCAGTGAAAATGTGAAGAAATAGAAAAGAATGAGCATTAGAGATAAAACAGATATGGCTAAAAAATAAGAGAACTAACAGGACAAATGTTATGCTCATGAACAGGCAATTCCATTACAGTTCCGTCTGCCATACCTGCAAAAGAGAGTGTCATGCAAAGATCGGACTGTTTATCTACTCCAGACGTTGTTCACAAAAGGACTGAATTTTTACCAAAGAGGACGCTGCCATTATCTTGTCAGATAAGCAAATACTTATAAATATATATATATATATATATATATATATATATATATATATATATATATATATATAAGTTTGGAATTCAGCTTGTAGTTGAATATGTTCAGACGAAAAGGCATGAAACCATTTCTTGAAATAAAATATTTTCTTATTCTATTGACATTTTGCAAACTAATCTATCTATCTATCTATCTATCTATCTATCTATCTATCTATCTATCTATCTATCGCTTTGTGCAAATGAACAGATAAGCAATTGATGTCTATTCTAATTCATTTCCAATGTATTCTTATATATAATTTTAGCATTTACTGTATAACTCTCTATATAATAATTAGAATGAATGAAAGTTTTTATGAATTTGTTTACTAAATAATTCTACTGTTATTCTATAGTAAAATAATTGACATTATATTCATATATTTACTTTGACCTCTTAATGTATTCATTAAGTGAATAAAAGTTATGATGGATTTGCTTAATAAATAATTCTAATGCATTTCTACCTGATGCGACATATTAGAATTTACCCATTATTCATTTTATCATAGAATAAAAAAAAACTTTTAGTGACTTCTTCATCATCTGTTCTCACTTAAATTGTACCATAACGTCATCTGTGTTACTTTCAGGACTGAGACTCTTTCATATGAGATATATGAAACATCGAAAATATACAGAAATGTTTCTTGAGCCAGTTCTGTGTCACATTGGCTGTGTCTGCGGGAACTTTGTGTTGAGTGAAGACATAGCAGCATCCAAATATGTCTGACAACAATATCTCTCTCCGTCATTTGCTGGTAAAAATCTGCTATTCACAATCACTTCTTCAATAGTGATTTAGAACCATCAGAATCAGCAGAAATCCAACCATGATGTTTTCGTTTGGAGGCACCTGAGAGCAGCCATCGCTGGATCTTGTATAGTTTTAGCTCTAAATCCTCTTTCCCAATCTTCTTTCGTGACCGATCCGAAATCTGGAGCTTTTGCCATCTTCCTCATACTCCTACATGGATTTCTCTTCATCCTCTTCTTGACGGCTACAATGACTCTCCTGATACGAACTGAACGGTTTCTTCCTAGAATTGTATTTGTTGAGGTTGTTTGCACCTCTTGAAAATTTTCAACATATTAAAAACAGTTTTTTTTGCAGCAAATATTCAACCGTTTTATCACGTGACAATTTTCCATAGAAGCCATTTTCAATACGATAATTTAATCATGTTTTGTTTGAGCCGCCATATTTAACGAAATGTAGACGATAAAACAAAAGAATGCTAGGAAGCCTTATGCAAAATTTGAAACATTTCTCGAATAGGTATGTTTTGATTTTTGTTTAAATAATGGGTAAATATTTATGCCGCAGCAGGTATACTAAAATTATTTCCAGTGAATTTCTATAAATGCTTTTAGTATTTGCTGTGTCACTATATGTATTTTTTAATCGCTATCACCCCAATCAGGGCAATAATGCCACTAAAACACAAGGAGTTACAGGGAAAGGAAGTAATCAGGAACAGGAAGAGAAGAAAGTAATCAGGAGGACAGTAGATAGCGATTGACATTGTATTTAAATTTTTTGCAGAATAAAGTGGGTTGGAAAGCATGGAGCCGAAAGGGAGTTCCACAAGCGAGAAGTGCGAGAGAAGAAATTGTTAGCATAGAATTTACAGCCAGCTCAACTGTAAATTGATAAGTTCTCGTCGCCAGTCTAGTGCTGCGATTAAATTCAAAAACTCTAAGTGCCATAGGGAAGAGCTCATCCGAACAATTACCATGAAAATATTTATAGAAAAGACATAAAGAGGCAACCTTAAGGAGGTGGGAACGTGACTGGAACTGAGATGCCAGATCAGGACCAATAATATTGCTGATTCTTCTTTGGATGTTATCAAAGAGCTCAAGGTAAATAGCATGGACACCGGGCCATATGTGGCAGCAATATTCTAAGCATGGACGAATGGTAGACTTATAGATATATAAGATAGATTCTGGAGAGAAAAATTCTCGCCCGACCTAGTGAACCGACTTTGTTAGAAACTGACCTAGCAATGAATTCAATATATTCTTTCCACTTTATATCAACAGACAATGTGTACCTGAGAAGGTGCCGCGAATAACTTTTTTGGAGGTTAGCATAAGCCATGATGATCGAAGGCAGCATGGGGTCTCTCAGATGATAAATGGAGAGAAGTTTAGTTTTGGAGGTGTTAAAATTAACAAGCCATCTTTTGCCCCAGTTAACGACAGACTTGATGTTATTTTGAACATCAGCTGCCATTTTGACCTTGTCTGACAGATCAGCCTTACTATCGCGGCAGGAGTAAATTGTTGTGCCATTAGCGTAGATACCAAGTTGAGAGCTGATTTCATCAGGAAGGTCATTAGCGAAAATTAACCATGACCAGAATTGACCAAAGATGTATCCCTGGGTGACACCGTTAGTACAAAAGGATCTAGACGAGTGGTCGTTCAGGAAAACTTTCATTTCACGATTTGATAAGAAAGACTGAATAAGTTTAAAAAAGTGTCTGGAGACACCGTAACTTTTCAGCTTGTGGAGACGACCTGAATGCCAGACCCTGTCAAAGGCTTTCGAGATGTTTAATGCTACAACCCGGGCTTCATCGTTTTTATCTAGAGCATGATAGATTCATTCCGCAAATATCGTCAGTACATCAGCAGTTGACCTGGGGAAACGAAAGCTATATTGCTTGTCTGAGAAAAGCCTCTGTGGTGAGAGTTAATGAACCAATTCATCATTGATTAGGTCCTCTAGAAGTTTCCCTAAAAGAAGTAGAAGGCTAATAGGCCGATAGTTAGAAGGGTCGGATGGCTCATCAGAGTTCTTAAAAACTGGGACAACAGATGATGACTTCCAGCAGGCAAGAAATCAGGAGGCAGCAGCGAGACATTTATTATACAGTTTAGAGAGAACAAGAGCCAGTTCGGGAGAACAATTCGTAATGACTATGACAGGGATACCATCAGGTGCGCATATTTTGTGGGGATCTATGTTAGAGATGATAGCAGAAACCATGGGAGGGGTTATATGCATATCACTCAACAGAGACTCAGTTCTAGGGGGGAAGTTAGGCAGGGATATTCAAGAGTCGAGTTTGAGGAGAATTTACGGGCATAGCATTCAGCTTTATCAGCAGAGGATGATAACACGTTGAATCAATTGAAGAGGGAGGAATAGAGACCTTGCACTTATTTAGTACTCTATTACAGAGATGCCAGTAATCGCGTGTACCAAAGTTGTAAGGGGCTATGCGGTTTATCATTCTCTCGGCAAACAGGGACTTAGCTCCTTCGAGGACTCACTTATATTTATTGCGAACTGCAACGAATAGGTGCCTGTTATGACGAGAGCTGTCACACAGGTATAGCCGAAAATAGTGCTTCTTGTGTGCTATAGCAGTGAGGATTGAGGTTTCACTTGGTACTTTCGAGAAGGGATGAAAGCGTTCATGCCTCCTTTAACACAAAAAGAGACCTCAGTAGTACAATTTTTTATTGGGAGTTTAAAGATGGCAGTCCAAGAAGCACAACGGAGAAAATCATGGAGTGAGTCCCAATTAGCATGTTGGTAACGGAAAGAGATCTTGTGGTTAGGGGATTCCTGTTTAATAGCGGATTGAAAAGAAATATCAATAGCTACCACAGAGCGGGTCCGAGTTACCAAGGTGTCAGTGTTGCTAAGCTCGGCAAGAGCGAGGAGAGGAAGTAAGAAATAAATCAAGTAAAGAAGCATGTTGCTCGGTTTTGCTAAGGAAACGGAAAGGGAAGTCTAGGGATTGGGCAATGGAAAAATTTATTGATTAGAATGAATGAAAAATTTAATGGATTTGTTTAATAAATAATTCTAATGCATCTCCTATCAACGTAAAGAAAGTTACAAAATTAGCCAGCATAGGGTAAAGTGATATGCATTTACTTTTGGTGTATTTTTTGGTGTGATTTTCTGGATTTCCTTGACCCCGGATAAACTATCAAATTTGATTGTTACCTTTCGATGCTGGCTAAGCTTAAGACCCAAATTTTCAAATTCAAGTGAAAAAAGGAAACAACCTTTTGCTTTCAACACGATAACGCCAATTCCCACACTGTCATAAAATCCTTGCATCACATCGTGAATATCCTACAAAACTCACCAGATTTGGCACCTTCCAAACTTCCATCGGTGAAAGACGAACGTTGAGGGCAACATTTACTTGATAATGGTGCAGTGAAAATGCGAGATCTTGTTCATCAAATGCACACAAAATGATGATATGAAAAGAATTGTGCTTTTCTATGTGAAAAAAATGACTCTACACAACGGCATTATTTTCTACAATATATCTCGAGATTCTTGCGCAAATCGACCCCAACCGAATGAACTAGCTTAGGCCTCATCGTTTTCTTGTCGAATTAGCTGGATGTAACCTAAATTCTGTTTTAATACTTTCTTTTCTCGCATTTCTCGTCTGTGGAACTCTCTTCCGCTTTCTTGCTTCTCTGCCGCCTACAATCTTCAAAAAAAATGAATGCAATGTCAATCGCTATCTTCTGTCTTCCTGAAATCTGTTTTTTATTGTCTTTTCTCCTCACTAGTCTTTTAATTTTCTTTTACTTATATTAACCCCCCTTGAATCTTATTGGCATTATTGGCTTGCTTTGGGTGAAATGATTAAAAAAATATGTAAGAGGCCTTACTTTTGAGCGTCCTACTAAATAAATGTTTTTTTTTATATTTCAGGTCGGACGGGCCATTCAGCCGAGCGTTTTCTATATAGGCGATTGTGAGAGAATGTTTAAAAAGAAAATACCAAAAACTGATCCTGTGAGTCAAGTTTCTTTCTGAGATTCGAAACTTTGAAATTTCAATTTTATTTTATATTTTCTTCTTTCATGTTTAATCTTTCTTTCTTTCTTTTTACTATTTCTCTTTCTTTTTTAATCTTTCATTTTTTTTTTTAACTTTCTTCCTTTATTCATTCTTTTTTGCTTTTTCACTTTTTCCTTTAATTTTTTGCTCTTTGTCCTGGGTATGACGATAAACTACACTCGGCAAAAAGACCGCCGATCGGAGATTTTGAGAAGCATGGAACCACCGCTTAATTGCTGTTTTTCCCACGTTTACACTGACCGGGGGGTGGCAGCACCTGTTAGAGTCCCAGCAAAGGGCAAATAGTGAACCCCCCAAAACGGTGGAGTAATGGATAGCGGCTCGGATTGAGGAAATGGAGGGATGAGTTCGAATTCCAGTCGAATTCATTACATTCACTTACGTGCTAATACCCTTGGGAAAGGTGTGAATATTCTTCTCCTCACAGCTATGGGTAAATAGCAGGACAACTTGGGTGGCAACTGGTCTTGGAGAAGAAAAACCTGATCCTCCATATTGGGGGTTGTGCAGTAGGCTAAACATCTACTCACTTAAAAAACTGGCTTGTTATAGAAACCGTAACGATATCTTGTTCCTCAAGGGATTTAAAGGCATAATATATATACTGACCCGGGTAGAAGTACATTTTTGTAATGGGAATACCAGCAATACCAATGTAGTATACAATCTAATAAATAAATAGTGTTTATTATTTTTGTTACTAAGAACAAATAAAATGTATAAATTCACTTTTGTATGTTTAGATTTTATTACAATTCTAATCATCGCTTTTAAAAACTGTAAACATTGCCTAAGAGTGAAGGTAGTTAAAATAAAAGAGGTGTTATGGGAATAAACCATTCTTTTGACACTCTGTTTTTTGGCGGGCGCGAAGGTCCATGTTTACCAAATAATCATTGTGTCTATAGGAATGAGGCAGGTTGGTAAGTTTCGTTTGGATAATTTTTTTATCGAAGATTTAATATTGAACTTCTGCAAACCGTAGTTGTGGAATAAGTAAAACTAAGCAAAAAGCAACGATAATCAACAATGCATTTCAATACAATCGCACTTCGAACATTAAAAAACATTCATAAATTCGAAAAAGTGTCTAAGCTTGGTCAACTGGTCATCGAACTGCTTATCATCATCATCATCATCTTCATCATCTTCATCATCATCATCAGTCCCTTGACTGCTTCAATCATCGGGTGAATCATCATCATTATCATCATCATCATCATCAGTCCCTTGACTGCTTCAGTTGCCTGGGGGAATCATCATCATCATCATCAGTCCCTTGACTGCTTCAATCATCATCATCATCATCATCATCATCATCATCATCATCATCAGTCACTTGACTGCTTCAATCATCAGGGGGAATCATCATCATTATCATCATCATCAGTCCCTTGACAGCTTCAGTTGCCTGGGGGAATCATCATCATCATCATCATCATCATCATCAGTCCCTTGACTGCTTCAATCATCGGGTGAATCATCATCATCATCATCAGTCCCTTGACTGCTTCAGTTGCCTGGGGGAATCATCATCATCATCATCATCATCATCATCATCATCATCATCAGTCCCTTGACTACTTCAATCATCGGTGGAGGGAACCTGAGGGCAGAAGAATTAGACTGATCTGTTGGCATTGTTAAAATTTACCATAGGAACAAGAGACATTTTTTCCCGCTCAATTTGTTATATAAGACTTCCCATTCTGCCCAACGTGGTGATTTTGCCCATAACACCATTTTCTCTGACAGCATAACATGAATTATCCTGCTGAGTTAGAATACCAATTAGTTTATGCTACCGTTTCAGTTCTCTCCAAGGCTAGAAGACAATAATAATAAAAATCAACTGAAACTTTGTACTTGGAAACTCGTTCCCAGCCATAATCTTCCTCGAAGAGAAACAGGAACGTCTTGAAGGCAACAATAATGACTGAGAGAACCCGGCAATACTTGGACAACTCATTACACGTTATGTTAAATCGCGTGTGGCTAACCCACAATAAAAACACGAGGTGTTATATTTGTCATCGAAAGATGATAAATGAATCTCAGAATGCCAAGTCATTTGTCATTTAAGATTCTAAGCGTGGCTATTAACGACATCTGCTCCCATAAATGCAGCTTATTAAATAACTATATGAAAAGAAGACAGGCAATGCACTGGAGATAAGGAAAACACCCTGCTGATAAATGCATGATGGCGTGGAATAAAACGAATTCTCATTTGCTGAAATGAGTAAAGAGTTCCTTGTTATTTAAACACGCGGAAATAAATCTATATATGTAAAGCAGAGGATGTCTGTATGTGTCTGTGTGATCCCTTTTCACTCGAGATCCATCCAAACGATTTTCACCAAACTTGGCACATACATTGTACAATGTAAGAGATAGGTTTTTAGCGTAAAAAATCGATAATTTAAAAAAAATTACTAATCGATAAAGGCGATCAAAAATCGATAAATTCAACTTTTTTCCTTTATTTTTATTCTACGCCATTGCGTTTAGCGAAAAACCCGAAAAACGAAAAATCGATTTCAACACAAAATGATTTCAACACAAATTTTAAACTAAAAACTCCCTCAATTTTCAAGCAATCTAATACAAACTACACTCAATTGTAGCCAACAATAAGTTGATTCTTTAACAGTCATTTAACTTGATAATTGAGTTCACACATATAGTGAAAATCAGCGTAAATAGAGAAAAATGGCAATTTTTACTGATTTCTTTCTTATTTTTCGTTGATTTTCAACCAATTTTCATCAAACTTAACAATTGTTTTATAAATGTATCCTCTTTTACATCTCTGGTAGCACACTGACAAATTGAATTTCAAAAACTTCAAAATATTTATGGTGTAAAGTGGGTCTTAATGCTGCCTGTTTTACCCCTTCATGCCTCGGCTAACGTCGATTGAATAAATACAGACTACTTCTGTTATATTAGTAACTGCATTAATTCGAATTTTTTTTTAATGAAAGTACTTTAAAGTAATTGAACAAGATAGACTCTGTTACATCTAAACATGATGCTGTTTTTGCTCCATTCTAACTGAAAGCTATTTTTGATCGACCAGCTGGGTATGGCTGCTAGTATATAAAATAAATGATTATATACGTCTTAGAGGGATGCAAATTTTTCGCAACGGTTTCATTTGATTATTATTTTTTAAATCATTTCACAATCAAGCAAGGCAATGATGTCATTAGAATGCGGGCGTGCTTAAAGGGGGTGAAAATAATGAAAAGACTTTAATGAGGAGAAGTGAGAAAAAGGACAATAAAGGAACAGGATTTGGGTAGACAAAAAATGGTGATTGAAGATGGCGATAATGCGTTTAAATTTTTGAAAATTGTAGGTGGCACGGGAGCAAAATTTCGGAAGGGACTTTCACAGCGGAGTAGTGCGAGAAAAGAAACTATTAGAATTGAACTGACGATTACATCTAGCTAGTTCAACAGTAAAACGATGAGACCTAATTGCCAATCAAGCAGCACGCTTAAATTCATGCAGTCAAGGCAGTAAGGATGAAACCTCATCAGAACAGTTGTCATAAAATATTTGTAGAAAAGACAGAGGGAAGCCACATCATTGCGGTGGCAAAGTGTCTGAAGTCGAGATGCCAGGTTAGGATCGATTTCATTTTAAAAAAATGCAAAAATGGTTAAAGTTTTGAAAGCCAAAACACTATATTTAGTTAAAATTATCAGCAATTTCAGTATTTTAACTTTTAAAATTTGTTTATAGCGATCAATGTAAAAACAATATTTATTGAGGCGGCGACTTACGGTTCAAAAGATCAATATGGCGATTTTCACTGTAAAAAGAATTACTTGGTTCATGAAGCGCACAAAAAAAAGAACACTTTGTGTGAAATAGAAACAAAAGAAAATTGTTTATTTACAATAAATTTATGCGAAAAGAAAATGTGTAAAGGCTTGCCGAAAATATTCTTTCGAACGCCTAATAAAAATTAGAATAAATTCTTTGGAAACATAATGAGTAAAGCTTAAATCTCACAAGATATATTGAAGACAATAGAGATAGCGGAAGGCAGGGAACCATTTAACTGATGAGCTTATGTGAATGGAGGGTGGAACCGGGGATTGGAACCTTAGCAAATGAAGAAAAACACTTTTATGTTTGATTTGTTTTTTACCATTTATCAACATTTTACAGGTTATTTAAAGCCAGAAAATATTTTTAGATTGTAACATTTTTTGGAGATAATTATGATTTACTGATACAAGTCTTTACTAATTAACCCACAGCTGGGAGGAAAAGAATTGAATATAACGCATTCAACTGGAATTGGATCTCGGCTCACCGATTAACAATTCCGTTCCGAACCATTATCCATTACACCCCCAGCATATCCAAGATCACAGTACCTGATCTTTCCAAGCGGTCACCCATCTAGGTACTGACCAGGGTAGGCATTGTTTAACCCTGGTGATCGTACGAGAACTGCTGTTTCAACGTGATATGGTCGTAAACCTTTTTGTTATTTGAGTTTGGAACTACAAGATGATCTGTCCGCACAAATGCTGTTTGGTTCGTAAAATGAATCTCTCTTTTATAATTTCTTCTTCTTCATCAATCAGACGAATCCTAAGCGCCTGACTAAAGATCTGCCCAAAGTAATCAAAACTATTAAAAACGAAGATCGAATTTTGCTTGTGGGAACATCCCGATGTCCATATGAAGCAGAAATGAAACCACTTTCCAATCTTTACCAAAAAATCATCCTCGTTCCAAGACCAGATTACTCTTCGCGATACAGTAAGTATTCCTCTATAGATTACTAAATTACCATATTTTGATACTTGTAAGACTGATTTTCTTATAAACTGTCTCCTAAAAAGACCCTATAAATTGAAGGCCGCTGATATGTTTGGAGTGTGGAGTGACCATCAGCTCTCGAATTACATCCGATTGTGAACCCTTGAAAATAAAAAGAAACAGTCCAGTGTTTCAAAATTAAATTAACAACGTTTACAGAGAAGCTATTTATACAGTTAGGATGTTAACAGGAACGAAATTCCTGCTACAGTAACACTTTCCCGCCTTTTCTTTTCTTTTAAGTTTTAACCAAACCATAAATGAAATTTAATTTCCTGTGAACATTGCTTTCGGTAAATATTACACCGCAAACTTAGTGCTTCAGTATCTGTCTATATTTCTGAGATGAGGTATTATGCACACTATTTACATTATTCGGACTATTGTCCTCATCTTTGTCGCCATATTTATTACAACGGTTCGGCTGTTGTACGCACCAGTCTTCTTCAAGTGGTTGGAATGTCGAACTGAACCATTTACCCAGTAAGGACCGAACTCACTATTCAGTCGTAATTGATCGAGCGAGACAAGCTAGCTAACCACTACACCACGTCGAAGTCCTACACTTCGGTGACTTATGTTTGAAGTGAGCCTCAGCTCCACACTTATATCCGATTCTGAGCCCTTGAAAGTAAAAAAAAAAAATAAAAAAAAACAAAACAAAACACCCCCCCTAATTTGTGATGAATTCGTCACGATTGGTAAGTGTTGCAGGCTGCAATAAGGTTAGAGCTTTCTGTGGAATTATGCACGCTAACTTCTTTTCTATTACATTCTAAATAGTTAGCATAAATTTGGTTCTTCTTCTCTGTAATGAATTTGTCACGATTAATCGGGTTGAATTATGCTATTCAGTGGCAAAAATTGAGGATAGTGACGATAGGTTTATGATGTACAAGGAAAAAAAAACTTTTTTTTCCGATTTCTTTCTTCAAAATTTGTGGAGGCATCTAATGCGTCGTAGAGTCTTATAAGCAGTGAAATACGTGACCGACGAATTCTTGAAACGCGATATTTTAGTCGATAGCCGTGTTTGAGTTGACGCCCCTATTTTTAAACAGTGTGAATTACATCTACCGGCCTGAGAATTCGAGAATCTTAATAAAAAAAAAATAAAAAAATAAAATGTGCCGTACATTGCCTTTTGTAAGGGAAACAACCACCCGGTCTTGAATGCTTTAGACGAGTCAGTCACGGAGAGCTTCATAACTTCACAAGGTTTAATAATCCTTTTTAATATTCTCGTTCAGATCTACTCAAAAGTCAATATGTATCGAATCCATATTGTCACTAAAACAAGGCATGAATGGAGCCATATTGGGCTGTGGAAGAGAGACGTTGGTTTGAATCCTCCCGGAGAGCACTTTTTTTACACATATCCACGAAAATTTAATGTTTAAAGCAATAAAAGATAATGTCGGATTAAAAATAAAATCCACTAATATCTTAAAAAAATAAATAAACTCTCTACTAATCCTTTAATAAATCATTAAATAAATATAGCGAATTAAGTACATTCAAAAATTCGCTAAAAACGAGGATATATGATGAAAAAAATGTTCAAAACATAATAAAAACAAAATTTTATCGTCAAAAATGTTATTATTACCGGGAAAAATGAAAAGGATGTTTTCATGTAAAAAATATTTTTTCAAAATCCTTTTTAGAATCTCGGAAAGATCGGTTAAAATCTTTTTTTTCTGGCGTCAACTGAGGATCATAAATTTGTACGGGAAACTTAACTGTCTTTTAAAAATTTTTTTTGAAATTCTTGCAAAAATCATATAATTGTCGGATTTTAATAAAACTTTCAAGACTTATTCAGAAATTAATTAAATCATCTCTAAACGTTTCCTACTTAGAAAACCTTTGTAAACATATTTTTTACATCTGTTACGCACCACTCATTTCATTTTATGAAAATTCTTTTTAGTATCGGTTAATGCTTATATTAGGAACAATCCTTGGAAAATTTAAATCATCAAATATTTTCGATTATATTGACCGACAGTGAGAGAAAATATGCTCTGAATTGTAAAATAAAAATGTAATAAAACAAAGACATTATTGAATTAGAAAAGCTTATAGTTGCTTTTATGAATATAATATATAATGGACACTGTTGTCACAAGAAAAATTTTTTCGATGAATAATGAGTTTTTACAAGAATTGCGTTCATTTAAAAAAAAAGTTGAATTAGAACAATTTATAAAACTTTAAATATTTTGAAATTTTGTATTTCTGTAGCAGTTAACTGATATTGTTATTAAATTAACATTGTATTCACTAATTATAAATGGAAAAGCTTACTTCATTTCAACGACCCCCAGTGTTTTAAAAATAATTTTAAATTTATTTTATGTATGTATAAACGTGTCGATGTTTGTAAATACGAATGTCCATAAACGACATTATCAGAATGTAAGAGCAGTAATTATAGTCAATTTAAAATTTATTGATATTTTTCTAATATTTTCTTAACGAGCGTCTTAGTTATTGTGACTATTCACTTATTGTACTTAATTCCTAAATGAAGCTTTAAAATCGTTATGTACGTGTATATATACAGGGGAGGGGGATATTGCATATATCGGGTTCATTTCTCTTTGTGGTTTCAGATATGTGCTGTTAGCCTCCTCAACAGATAAATACATGGGAACGCGACAACAAGGATGGAGACAAAAGGAATGAAAAGGAAAAATAAATATTTAAATAATAATATTTTAAATAATTAAAGAAATTTGAAGAAAAAAAATGAGAGAAAAGGTGGCTGCTATTGTGATTATTATGAGACATGTTGCCAGTTGAATTTTTACTGAAGAATATTTACTAAAATCACTTAAAAAAAGAAAAAAATCGATACCTATATTTCTTGAGGTTTCTATTTTAGTTTTTATTCTAACCGAATAGATTAGAATTAATATTTCAGTAAACAAACATTTTTTTCAGGATGTTGCCTTCATTTTTACCGAAATTTGTAGGTACCTAAATTTATTTTATTTATTTACATTTATAATTTAATTACGATTAATTATTTTTGCTTACATTTTTTTCAAATTTGGAGACAGACTTATTGATGGAAATGCTGAATTATATTTCAGTTTTTACTCAAGAAACAATAATTTTATTGTATGTCGGCAAAATTTCATGTTATTTCATTGCTTTTGACACGGATTAAGAATATAAGACTAGTTCAAAAGTTTAACATTGGATATAAGGGTCTTAGACCGGCGGTTGGGAGGCAGAAATCATTTGAAATACTAAACTAAACTTAACAATGGCCCCAAAACAAATATAAATGTTTGATAAACCATCAAACAATTAATTTCCATAATAAAATGAAATAATAATTTTTCAACAAGGGAGGTAACTTTATCAAGAGTTATCTCCCATAAATTCCGTAGTTATTTCTGAAATCAGTTTGGGTACATCGATAGAATACTGATGACACATACGCGCACGCATATATATATTTCAGAATATATATACATATATATATATATATATATAAAAGTAAGTGTGTATTTGGGTAGCAGTACCTCTTTTCTACAAGTTTCATTAAAGACGAAAAGGTGGTTAAGCTTTTTATTCAATTTTTCTTGTGCTCGTATGAGTATTTTCTTTTCTGGACGTAAAATGTGTAAAAATTGTCCAAATGTTCTATATATCCGAGCGCTTTCGGCTATTTTATCAGTCATTTTCAAGGATATTTTTTATTTCTATTTTTTAACTAAATGGCGAGATTTTATTTATATGTAACTGGAGTGATGGGAATTATTATTTTTCAAACACTGTCAGAGAAAAATCTTAGAAAAATATACGCCCCCCCCCCCGACAGGGTTCGAACCTTCATCCCACAGGAGAAACCGTCGTTAGATCTGACATGCCGTGACCTCTCGGCTACGTTGTTTTCTTTTCCACTTTTATCGTCCAGTTTCTTCTTATGAAGATAGTTTTCATCTGACAGGAAATAAATTCGACACAGGAAAATTTCATAATGACTTCGATTCGGACTGTTGCATCCGGTTGCTACTCGTTTTAACACTCGGACTGCTTCGACTCTGACTGAATACTTGTTACGTTGCCCTTTTATTTATACAAAATATGCGCGAATATTTAACAGAAAATTTTTTTTTTAAAGTGTCATACTTGAAAAGTATAAACTTTATAATAACTTAATAATAACAGATCCTTAAAAAATGAAAATTTGTATGTAAATAATTTGATATATATTTTAATTGCGTTGTAAATTTCATTTTTCTCCATAAACTTTAAGTTGATTAAATTTTATTTTTATTTAGTATCCACTACCTGGGAAGCGTCGTCAGTAAAGTTGGTGGGGTGGGGATGAAGACGTCAAGTGCCGAATCAACAAAGCCCGACACGCTTTCAACCCTTAGCGGCCTATCTGGAGATCAACAGCCTTCTCACTTTACATCAAGATCTGGATTTTCAAAACCAACGTCAAGTCGTTCCTATTGTAGAGGGCCGTGGCTGTTATGTTGTTGATAGAAGTCAGACGTATCAGAAACGCATGTAAGGTTCAGATTCTCCTGCTCGCCGGGCCCAACTACATAAAAAGGTTGGACTTTGATTAAGTCCAAAGAAGAAGGCAAAGAAAGCAAACAAAACACAAGACCGATAATATATGTATATACAAATATATATTAATAACAAGTTACAATACATGGAAACAGTACAAAGGACGAAGTGTGTGTGAATATTCTGTATGTGCGTGCGTGTGTGAATATTCTGTATGTACGTGTGTGTGTATTGTGCTTAGCGTGTTTCCACGCTATCCCTTGTTAGCGCCTACATTTCGAGGTTGATAGCTGAAATCCCGAGGAAAAGGAGAGATTTACCTCAAAGTGTCGGCGCACAGGCCTGAGGGAAAAAGAGATAGAGGCGAAGGGTCCGCGGCTATTTATAGCAGCGAAGAGCGACCCCTGGTGAAAGGGTTAATGTACTAAAGGAGGAGTTAACTCCGACACTATTTTACGGCTCAAAAACCTGGTGGGTAACCAAGACCAACATCCACAAACTTCAGACATTTATTAACTGATCTTAGGATTATCCTCAATATCATGTGGCCGGAAGTTGTCTCTAACGACCGACTGTGGGACAGGACTAGACAAGCCTCAATCGAGATTGACATCAAGAAACGGAAATGGGGATGGATCGGCCACACACTCCACAAGCCTCCTCCTAGAGTCACCAAACAGGCAGGCCCTCGACTGGAATCAACAAGGAAATCGAAAAGTGGGCCGACCAAAACAGACTTGGCGTAGAAATGTTGACGCAGAGGTGAAAGCAGCCGGCACGTCTTGGGCCGATCTGAAGAGGATCGCCCGGAACCGCGTCCGTTGGAGAGGTGTCGATGCGGCCCTATGTTACCCAAGGAATCAAGAGGCATAAAAAATCCACTTATTCGGGAAATTGTATCTTATTAATAATGTTCCTTAAGAAGACGTGTTTATTTTGTTTGAAACTGACTAATTAACAGGATGTGTTCTAATAATGTGTTCTGATAATGTGTTCACTATATTTTGAATCTATTTAATTTGCTCAATTTACCAAGTCTTAATTAATATGGATTTTTAAAAGTTTTTCTTCATAAAATACAAAAAAGCCATAATCGGAGGAAACAGGATCCATGTCTTTGGAAAAGGCATGAGAGCGAAGTGAACGAATCAGAATCGATCGGAATTTGAACCCGTTTTGCCGATTTCACATTCCGCACCGATAATTGTTATACAACCCGCGCATCCACAAATCTTTGTATCTAATAAAAGAATGTATTTCGAAAATAAATCGTTGTCATCGGCTTTCTCTCGTATCCAATAATTTAATTTCTTCTTTGCTGATCGCTTCTTTAATAATGATGGCATTGACGTCTAAATTCGCCGCCAACATGCAGGTTCGGGACTAGAAGCTTCCAGTTTCACCAAAACCTGCTCTCATCAGCCATGTCGCCGTTTGGTTTTGCAAGAGTTGATTGAAGGTGAGAGAAAATCAAATTAGAAAAAAGTTCCGCTGGCGTGAATTTGTTTAAGGTGGACCTCAACTTGCCAGGAAGTGATCCGCACCCTCATTTCATGACCTTTCCTCTGTGGCATGGAATGACACATGCAAAATCCATTTATGAAACTGCAACGGGGTGCCGCTGAATATGTTATAATTTCGAGTGGCGCCTTCTGTAGTATGTCCATCATGCGTAGTCCTCTTCATCCGGTGGTTAAACCATTGAGATCTGTTGTAATCATCATCCACTTGCTCCACCGTTGGAGTCTTTGGGGTTGGTCGCGCCTAGTCTGGATCCTCTAATAATAAAAAAAAATAAAATGTTCCCCTATATTTAATGATAATTTTATACTTTTCTTATTTTCTTATTTATTGTTTGGTTTCGAAAGTAATAATAATAATAATAATAATAATAATAATAACGTTATCCTGTTTATTCCGACATTTAGTGTAAAATATATATATATGTGTTTATGCATATATGTCTCTATGTACGTACCACTGATGATCGCTCCTTGTCGTGGTGGAGGGGCTTGCGTGGTCCATTGACTCTGAGAGCGATGTCGTTGGTAGTTCTAAACTCCTGGTAGGGTCAACCTTGACGGCAACATCGAATGGGGTTGAAGATAGATAAGTATATCGTAAAGGAAGAAAAAGATTGTCAGTGGCAGTTCATATTTCATGGCATTTTGTATAAAATGATTTTCCTTTTTATATTCCTGACTTTGTTAAGGTGTTTTACATTGTTTTCTTTCTTTTTTTTTTATCGTCCAAGAATACAGTTTTCAGACGACATAGACGGATAGACGAGACACAAGAAGATTTCTTAATGACTTCGATTCGGACTGTTACATCTGCTTGCTACTCGTATTAACACTCGGTCTGCCTCGACTCTGATTACTTGCTACGTTGTTCTTTTATTTATACTGCATGTGTGGACGTCATAGAAGACACAATATGCTTGTAAATATATATGAGAAAAATACTTAATTTTAAAATGTGTTACTTGAAGAGTATAAAATGTTGCAGTTCTGGTTAAAATTGATTCAAAGTTAATAGTAACATAGCTTAGCTTAGTAGTAGGCACAAGGATACCTTCTATTGGAATCTAGTGACGCCCAGAACGTAACTTTTGAAAAACGCGAGAGTCATTATGATTGGCTAAAATATTTTTTTCCAATTTCTTCTCAGTCCTCTTTTGATTCGGTTTCGGAAATAAAAAAACAAACAAACAAAAAACGCTGAACTTTGTTAATCTTCCATTTGCCTGTTGTCTGTCGAGGCGAACACTTCCGGTTTGAACTTTACATTCACTTTCTTTTACGAGCGCACGTCTAATTGCCTTTTATTTTATCCCAGAAATTTGGCAGAAGATGGTTCCAGAAAATCGTGGTCAAGTGACTAGCAATTTTGACATGACATCCCTAGCCAAGTTGAGCGATGGTTACACTCCTGGCCACATCATTTCTGTGATACAGACAGTCCTTACTGATCGCAGGGTGAACCAACAAGCCAAGAAACCACTGCAGGCCATTGAATTTCTCACACCGCTCGCTCGAATCGATCCGATTTTTAAAGAAGAGGAAGAAGTTTTCAAGGTAAGATTTTATGGTTTCTACATTTGTCAAAATGTCGTGAATAAAATCACATCGCTCATAGAATAATGTCTTTACTCTCGTAAGTTTAAAAAAAATGTTTGACCCTGTTAGCCTTCATCTCCGAACCCCCCCCCCAAACACTCCTCCCGCCAAAATCCGGTGTTTCAAAAGGACGTTTATTCCCTTGATACCGCTATTACTGTCTGCTGTACACTTTTGACAATTGAAGAAAGCCGGATGATACAGCGATCGAAACGTTGTGACTATAACAATTAAGATGAAGATTCTAGTCTCTGCGTATTATACGGCACAATATTGTATGAAAAGTGATTTAGCATTTTTGAAAATTATTATTAAAATAAAGGTTTTAATTTTTTAAAACAACTTTTAGAGGACCCGGCAATTCGTCTTCACTCACTTTTGCACTTGTCTTAATCTAGCTTTCCGTGTGCCTTTTCTATAAATATTTCCATGACAATTGCTCACTTTGGTACCTTGATTTTACTAATTTAGGCACAGTAATTGACTAAGAGCTAGGTGGCATCATTTTACAGTTGAAATGGTTAGATGTGACCGTAAGTCCTATGCTAACATTTTCTTCTCTCACACTTCTCGCTTGTTGAACTCTTTTCTAGCCTCTTGCTTTCCACTCAACTTTGATCTTCAAACATTTAAATACAATGTCAGTCGTTATTTTCTGTCATATATATTTCTGTTCTTTTATTGGTCTCTCGCCTTGATCATGTTTTTATTTTTCTCATATTCTCTCACACTCAGTACCCCCCCCCTTGCGTCTTAGTGGCTTTATTGCCTTGCTTGGGATGAAATGATAAAAAAAGGAAAAAGAAAGAAGAGATAAATGGGAATAAACTAAATTTAATAATCGTATATACTCGAGTATAATGTGAGGTTTTATGCAAAAAATAGGGGGTCGCACTATACACAGGTAATATTTTTGAAGAGGTTAAAAATCATGCATTTTTGATGCCCGGTTGCACTTATACACAAGTAAATTTTTTATTACGGGGTCAAATTTCGGGTATTTTCGGTGACCTAACCTACCTGTTAGGTCTACATTCTCACGGTACCTTTGGTTAATCTTAAAGGTACAGGTAAACTCCTTTAGCATTATGTACAGGTAATCCTGACAAAAAGGTGGTCATTAGAAAGGCAAGATCCCAGCGATGTATTTTAATAACGTTTGTGAAATAAAAGCTAGGAAAAATCTATTAATTCTTTATTTATATCAGGTAATTTGTTGATTTTAAGTGGCACACATAGTAGATGATGTTTTGCTCTTCATGTAGCAACAAAAGGGACGAAACTCAGGTTCAGGGTAAAAGAAGTTAATTCACAAAATAATTCATGGGTCTCATTACGCATGAAGTCGACTTATACGACTTCCTTTCCAGTTTAGCGTTGAACAAGATTAAGACATCGAACTCTCTGCTTTCGGGCAGAGAGGAAACCAGACGAGTCTATGCCGAAGGGCAGAGTCTCGTCTGGGGATGTAGACAAACCCGCCCCCGTATATGCGGGGTCGACGGGGATTTTTTGCCTGAGCCTATGGGCTCGGATCGCCCCACATAAAAATAGGCCTTGTGCCACATTCTGCCTTGTGGGGAGTTCGGGTAAATACCGACTTATACACGAATATAATACGGTAATCAGTAATATAACCAATGTCGTGAGCAGTTAGAGTGGCCTAACGTAATGGTAATTTTCCAGCTCACCACTTATCAATTCCGGGCGGTCGCTGGATGATGGTGGGAGAAGCAACAAATAACCCGAAAGTGTAAGATGTGGTAATTATGGGCGATGTCGCTTTTGGGTTTCTCTTCTCATGAATCGTTAGTATGCTCGGATTGTTGACAGTCTTAGATCCACGGCGATCAGAGGACGGAGAGTGCGACCCGGCAATCCGAAGGCGCATTGGGATAGCGAAAGATGCCTTCCAAAAGCTGAGCAAAGTATTAAGAAACAGGAAAAGAGTACTGAACCGTTATGTAGTATCAGTTCTCCTCTATGGCAGTGAATGCTTAACAATCTCCTCAAAGGTGAAGAAAAGCCTTGGAGCAACAGAAATATGGTTCTACAGAAGGATGCTGAGTATACCATAAATCGAACAAGTGAACAACGACGATGTTTTAGAGACAATGGAAACAAAAAGGACGTTTATCCTTAAGATCATAAAGGGACAGTTGGAATTTCTAGGTTATATAAAGAGGAAGGGAGTCTTGGAAAATTTGATACTCACAGGACAGATAGAGAGCAAGAGGGGCAGAGGAAAATAACGCATAACCTATTTAGTGAGCCTGAGTAAATGGTTGGCGGAATAAGGTTTAGGAGGAATAAGAAAAAGACAAAATTTATAAAGAGCTACGAAGGATAGGAAATTGTGGAGAGCCATGATCGCCTACGCCCTGAAGGGACACGGCACATAAATAAGAGAAGAACCAAAATAATTGACACTCCAGAGGGATGCTTATCAGAAAGCTCAAAGTCAGTCATGATAAATTCGATAAGTCATCGCTAGCAATTACAATCATGGAATCCCTATACACTTCACATCTATCTACTTTTTTATGATATTCATTCAGAAGTAGAAAGAAGAATATGGTATCTTTGAAGGTCTTCATCTCTATTGAGGTTCAACATTGCCATAAATTATAAACATCTATAGATGTCAGTTAGAAAATAAAATGTTAAGTTAAGTTTAAGTCTAAGTAATATTATTTTTAATTTTTTGGTGGCTATTTTCTTTTTAAGGAATGGTATACGAAAACACCGCTGGGCAAGAAACGCATAAAAGCCGCCAAAGGAGACGACGAGGAAGATGGTGGAAAAGGATCAAAAACAAAGAAAGGAAAGAAAGGAAAGAAGAAGTAATTGTATTCATTTTTTTTTGCAGGAATATGTTGGACTTCACTGTTAACTTTTTTCCAGACTCACGTTATTTTATTAAAGATGGAAAATATACAAAGTTTTTTTGTGAAGTTTATTTCATCGACTTTATATAATAATAAAATTCCAAGTATCTATCTATCTATCTATCTATCTATCTATCTATCTCAGTCTGTACATGTTTCGAGTCGTAACGTTACTTTGTTTTGTTTAATTTTACTATTGGTTTAGAATAGTCGGTTTCTTCCCCAATTAATTATCTTTCAAACATTTTAACAACAACAATAATAAAAACAATGTTCCCAATGTTCCCATATATATATTTGGCGATAATTTTATGCTTTTAGCTATTTCTTATTTATTAATTTGTTTGTATTATTTATCATTTAAACAGAAATTATAATTTATAATCTAAACGTGATAATAAGTGGTACATTTGACAATGAACTATTTACCCTGACGTCTAGTATAATATATATATATATATATATATATATATATATGTGTGTGTGTGTGTGTGTGTGTGTGTGTGTGTTTATGTGGTTTTCTTTGCATGTTTCTGTGTGTGTTTCTATATATATTTACGGTGTTGTGGCCTGTATTTCCTTTCAAAGCAAAGGTTAGAGGAAAAGTAACCCTAGAGTTGCCTCCGAGTCACCAGCCCTCGAGAGAAAGACCACTCTAAACACTTCAGATGTTTTTGGTGGTCTGCTTCACGGCGTAGAGGTTAAACTCCATGGCAATAACAAACGCAATCCCTGCAACTTTTTAAATTTGTATTCGTAAGATTTTGTAAGAAAAGCATTTCGAGTCGTAACGTTTATTTCTTATTGTTTATTTTTTACTAATAGCTTTTGTATTCGCCTGCACATTCGCCTCTGTATGTCTCCCTATTGTTTATCATTCAGTGAGTTTTAACAACAACAACAATGAAAATATATATCTGACAATAATCTTATACTAGTATATATATATATGTTTATATATATATATATATATATATATATATATATATATATATATATATATATTCTTTGCATATTTATGGATAGATTTCTATTATTCATCACTTAAACAGAAATCATGATAATAGTAAGAATAAAGTGTTCTAGCAGGGAAAATAAGTGCAACGTTGAGATCCGAAGACGTAATGGGATGGCCAAAGACGCATCTCAAAAAGCTAGGTAGAGTATTACGAAACAAAAGGGTTTCGTTGGTAACAAAGAAATGAGTACTGAAATGCTACGTGACATCTGTCCTCCTGTAAGGCAGTAAATGTCTCTTCAAAGATGAAGAAGAGACGAGGCCACGTAGGTATGATTCTACAGAAGGATGCTAAGGATACCATGGACCGAAAATGAGCATCGATGAGATTTTGGAGAGGATACAAACAAGTAGGAAGCTTATACTATTATATATATAAATATGCAAAGAATATATATATATATATATATATATATATATATATATATATATATATATATATATATATATATGTATTTCATTGAATACAACAAATAAGTTGCTTTTTATTTAGTTGTTTACACAATTTCTCAAGATCTAATATTTTTTTCTTTTCGGATGATAAATTATATTTTTGTAATAAAAAATATTTTTATTACAAAAAAAAAAAAGAAATAAAACTTCTAGCTTTATAGTTAAAAATAATTTACATCCTAGAAAAAAATTAAATAGGGTAAATATTATTTACGAATTTAAATGCCCATTAAGGAATTGTATTCCTGATCAATCAAAATTCGTAAATAATTATATAGGCCACACTGCAACATGTTTGACACGCAGACTCACTCTACACCGTGACATACCTAGCGGGCTAAAGCAGTTTTTATTCTGATGTCCGCTGTAATATATATATATATATGCACGCGCGTGTATTTAAATTTTTATTAATTTTAACTAGATTAAGTGATCTAATTTTTATGTAAATATTACACTGATTTCAATCTCCGGGAAAACCTTTAAAGAAGTTTAAATAATTCACTAATTCCCACCTAGTTTAGAAGGGGTATAGGACCTTATTCGGCAACCTATAGTGGAATGAAACCTGTGTGTTTTTTATCGTGTGGTTTTTACCAGCTTAATCTTCAAGATTAAGCTGGTAAAAACAAGGAAACACACAGGTAATTTTAGCAAAATAAGGCAAGGAATTTATTTACGAATTTAGACGCTTGAAATTGTGGCTGTAGCTCGGTTCGGGAAAATAAATCAGACATTTTTCAAGTCCGTAGTTTTAACGAATTGTCATGAAGAGGAAATGTTCATACAACAGATGAAATGATCTGACACTAAATAATAGTAAAAAATGTTTAAAACAAAGGTAAGTGAGATCGTTGCTCCCCGAAGGGAGATATGATTTGCATACGTTTAAAAGTAGACGTAGAGAGATAATTTGTAGTACTTAGATTTTTTGGATTGTTGAGAAAAAATTCTTTGAAGTGCCGTGTGCTTAGTTAAAGGATGATAATATAATTGGCGAATAATTTTACACTGGCTTTAACGCTGGTCGCGGGGAACTGAAACGAAATCATTCACAGGACTTTAGACACTTTTCTCTGATTAATTTAATTTTTCTCATCGTTTTATATAAAAAAGAATTTCGCATAGGCTCGCTACTTTCTTTTCTTTCTTCATCTTGGCTCAACGGCTGATTCCTGTGAAGACAAGGTTTTCATTGGTCCAAAGAAAATTTCACATAGGCTCGCGAATTCCTTTCCGTCTTTTTCCTCAGTTCTCCGAATTTGAAGGGAGTGGGTAAAGGTATTTATTATTTCGCACTCACTACAGACCTTTCTAGAATTGGTATCTCGATAAATGGTTTACGGTTCTTTCTTCTATAGCCATACTGATTTAACTAATTATTTTCTTATCTGACTGATCTTTGCTACGAATTTTCATTATAAGGTCCGGGGTTGGCAGCTTTCTGGCGGTTGCTTCCGACTGGTAATAAGGTATCTGAACACTTTGGTAGCGCTTAGAGAAGCTGCTTTGATCAACAGCCTCTAGTCAAGAGTCCATCATTGTCTATCCCCCTTATCCTCATAATCTTCACTTTTTACCTCGACCTCTTTTATTCATATCACACACGAAATTCGTCATAACCATTTTAATAGTAACCCATTACCTCTTGTGGTTAACTAGATTAATTTTATCAGCTTTCGTTTTTATTAAAACCTTTCGAAACGCGAGATAATCTCATAAAGGTAGGTAATCTTGCAATTTTCATAATGAATTATCTCCCTTAGAAACGATCGCTTTATAGAAAAATTATATATATTATATTCATATTTGAATAGAAAAATATGCGCTCTCCGATAGGATTTGAACCTATATCGCTTTTGGAAGGAGAGATCGTCGTTAGATCAGATCAGTCTCGGTCAAGTAATGTAGCGCTTGTTTAATACAGATAAATAAAAGTTGTGTCTATATCAAATATGAATATCTACTAAAAATGACGTTTAAGTAATAAAATATGTCGGATTAATAAATAAAAAATCCATCCTTTCTTTAGAGATTGCTTTGTTTATGTTAGGATATGAAACTGAGCAGATATGAATGTTTCGAAAGTCTGAAAAAGATTTGAGTTTATAAGGCACTATTCAACTTTGTTTTTGGTCGAGACTGTCTAATGCACGTCGGATCTAACAATATTTTTTTTCCTGCCAACTGGCACGCAGGTTCGAATCCTGTCGGAGAGCAGATATTTTTCTTAAATAAAACTTCTCCAATATTCAAGCCGGTAGATGAAAATAAATAAATATACTGTTTAAAAATAAACGGAGAGTCTACTCGAACACAAGTATCTACTAAAGATAAGGTTTAAGCAATCAAACCTGAATATAAATTTTCTATAATTCCATCTTTCCCTAGGGAGATCCTTCATTCACTAAAAATAACACTGAAGTTATAAACTCTATTAAAAAATAAAAAAAAATTATTACTTCTTTAGAAATTGCTTTGTTTAAGTAGATTTTTGCTATCACTATTGTTTTTGTTGGTTTTATTTGCCACATTCAGGTTGTTTTACTTTCTTAGATTGGTTTAGTTTGGTTTGTTTTACGGCATATCAACCACAATGGGTTATTTAATGCCGACAAGATTTTTATTGTTAGTTATATTGTTAGTATTTCTGGTAATATTTTTCCCAAAAATGTATTGCTGGTAATATTTTTTTTTCAAAAATGTATTGTTGGTAATAATTTTTTCTTCTAAAACTTATTGCTGGCAACAATTTTTTTACAGAAACGTATTGCTGGTATTTTTACACTTTCATAGTGTTTTGACCCCAGTTTGTCCATAGCCGGGACCCTAACAGGTGCTGCCACTCCATGTCAGAGTGGACCTTGGAACACTCGCAATTAAGTGGTGGTTCCACGCTCCTCAAAACCTCCTGATCAGAGGCCTCACCGAAGACGCAGATGTAGTTTATCGTCTTACCCAGGACGACTTTCTAAGACTGATTTTTCAATTCTTTATCATTTTCATAACATCACAGAGATTAGAAGCTCAACATTTACACGAAATTGACGTTTAGAAGTCTATATAAGTTTCATGAATTATTAATATTTTTATATATTTTCCTTTGATCTGTAAAATCGGCAGAGGATTTCGATAAATAACAGCAAAAATAAAACACAAGAAAATCTCGTCAAAAAGTAAATAACAACCACTAAATTTACATAAATTAAAATCATTAAAATTTAAGCCATTAAAATATATATCTGTATATATTTCTGAGATGAAATTATTTAAATTATTTTATTATATTTTTATGAAATTCGGACTGTTGTCCATTACTTTTGTTGCTATATTTTTAAAAGCGAAATTATTTCGATAAACCTCGTCCTTCTTTGCCAACATTGGAGGTTCGCATTTATGAACCTTTTAAAACATTGAAATAGCTAAAAGTTCCACCGCCATATCCTCTTAAAATGTTACTCTGGTAACTCTCAATTTTTTAAAATACCAAATACAACGTCAATCGCCATATTTTTTGTCAGTCTTGAACACCCATTCAACGCTTTTGTCCTTAAATAATCGTCACCTATTTCAAATTTAACAAATTTTTGGATAACTTAAAATGTAAATATTAAAACAATCTAATAACTAGTGGCATAATAAGGATATTCATTTTTTTTTTAATCATTTCAGGCACTTGCTTGAGGGAAAATGATTTAAAAAATTTAAATGAAAATGCCGTTATTATTTATAATTTTAATGGTTGTTAGATAATTTTAATGATTTAAATTTTAATGGTTATTATCAAAATGGTATTTGTTAAATTTGAATGGTTAGTGTGCATTTTGATTATTTACGCTATTTACATTGGATAAAAGCGTTGGTTGGATCCATTGACTTGACCCAAGGAGTTATGAGTTCAATACCTGCCTAATGCAGTGGTGAACAAAAAATTGGAGAGTTAAGATAACTGAGACATCCGTAAGAGGCATGGCATGTGGAACTAGAAGAATCTACCCCGGTGGATGAAATAAAAGGTTCAGTTCGAAATTCCAATCACCTGAAGAAGGCCAATTAACCGATTCATTTCCCGTCGTGAATATAGCAACAAAGATAAGGACAACAGTCCGAACAATGTAAATGGTGTAAATAATTACAATACCTCATCTCAGAAATATAGACAGATAGTGTATTTTAATGGCTTAAATT